GAGGGCGGGCACAAGCCGGCGTGAGTAGGTTAAACGTTGAGTTTTATAAGGGCACCACGGGGTGACCAGCCCCACCCCTCCCCACCCAGCCCCACCCCTCCCACCCCCCACCCAGCCCCACCCTCTCCACCCAGCCCCTCCCCACCCTCCCCTCTCCACCCAGCCCCACCCCTCCCATTTTTGGATGCACGACAGACGGACGGACACAAAAATCCCCTGTGGGATGGTGTAACAAGGAGGTTCCTACCAGTATTAAATTCGATACAATAGTTTTCTGATGACCAACGGTTACATCGGCGTAACGAGAATAGCTTCACTAACATTGGCTACTGAGTAAAAAATCGTCCAATAATCCAAAATGCGTTACAGTCATTCCCCCATTTACGTCTCCCCCTTTTTACGTCGTTTTTCAAATACGTCGCCGCTTTATTAATGCCACGAGCCGATTTGCGTCGTCTCAACCCCACACACTCACGTCCGCCCTCTCTCGTTGTCCGCCGCCTCTCACAGCCGTCGCCTCCACCACCCACCCTGCAGATTGACTTCGTTTCGCAAATGCGTCGTCGCTTTCTCAGCACCGTTAACCCGATTTGCGTCGTCTCAACCCCACACGCTCATGTCACTCACAGCACCGTCCGCCCTCTCTCGTTGTTCCGTCGCCTCCACCACCCAGCCTGTAGATGGCTTTGACTTTTCGTCGTTGTCGATATTCGTCGACGCACCGACATAAACTGGGGTATTTACTGAACTACAGTGTGGCCTCGTTATACGCGAGGGATAAGTTCTGGAGGTGCTCGTGAAAAGCAAATTTGGCGGATGATGATATTGGGCAACAAAAACGAATCTTTGATATCGTCACTTTATCTCATCACTTTATTTCTCTCTCTCTCTCTCTCTTTCAATGCAGTCGTGGAGAGTCCAAGACGCGATTTTCGCGGATAGCCAAAATAGCGGATAGCAAGTCCCGTGAATAACGAGGGAATACTGTCCTAAAACAAACGTACGAAATGTTTTAATTAAAAGTACAATTATAAAACGTCGCCTGGAGCATCGGCACAGGATCCGCGATGTCCGAATCGGAATCTTTATTGAGGCTGCAGGAGGAATCCGATGAGCTATGAAGCTCTTTGTTTTACCATTGATGCCCAGAATGTGTGGCGGGTCAGCACGTGACAACAACGAACAACGATGGGAGCGCAATGATAAGCAAGTCAGTAAATATAAACAAGTAAACAACAACAATCTATTAGTCCGATTTATGAAGCTTGAGCAAGGCAGCAAAACCAACAGCAGCAACAACAACAAAAAATAGTCCCAGACCACACCGAGAAAACACCGCACCAGCAATAGTCCCTCAATATTCTAGATTTGAAGCTTTCGTGACTGCAAGGATTCATATTCTTAGGTTTTTTCGGTAAAGTCACGTAGGTAAAAAAATAAAATTTATTAAAGTATTTTATTTTACTTTTATTAATTTTAATTTTTTACCTACGTGACTTTACCGAAAAAACCTAAGAATATGAGTCCCTCAATACAATGGCACATTCACATTGATCACTGCAGCAGCAGCAGTCGCGGTAGTGGTGGTGGCCATTGACCCGGTAGCATCGTAGAGGGGTGTGGAGGATGAGGGGGGGGGGTGACGGGGGGCAGCGCGCGTGCCTTGACACGTGGACGCACACACGTGGATGCCCCCCACCGGGTGTGGCTCTCTACGACATCCGCTGCTCGCGTGAAGTCAAAAACGCGGAAAATCCAGTCGAGTGTTTGCGCGTTGCCCAGTCGAGCGCACTGCGAGAGAAAGTGGTGGTGGTGGGGGTGGTGGTGGTGGTGGGGGTGGCGGAGGTGGTGGTGGTGCATATTTGGAGTCTGCGTGTCTCTCTCTCATCATCATCATCACGGTGGCTAGGAGATGTTAACTACCTCGCGTGGTATACAGGCGATCGTGGGTTCGATCCCGATCCGGATGCCTGCTGCTGTATATTTGTAGTTTGCGGTGTCTCTCTGTCTCATCATCATCATTATCATCATCACGGTGGCTAGGGGATGTTAACTACCTCGCCTGGTATACAGGCGATCGTGGGTGCGATCCCGACCCTGACGCCTGCCTGTTGTATATTTGGAGTTTGCGATGTCTCTCTATATCTCTCATCATCATCACGGTGGCTAGGAGATGTTAACTACCTCGCCTGGTATACAGGAGGTCGTGGGTTCGATCCCGACCCTGACGCCTGCTGCTGTATATTTGGAGTTCGCGTGTTTCTTTCCCCGTGGTCGCGTTGCTTTTTATCCGGGTCCTCTGGTTTTTCTCTCCACATTTAGAAAACATGCGTTGAGAGTATTTGGCTGCTATACATTTCCACGTGATAAGCCACTTCTTTGAGTCTATCATTTGTGGCCAGGTCGCTTCTGAAAAAAACATCTCAGTGGGGCATTACCTGGTAAAATGAAAATAGTTCAGTTTAAATAGCTTCGTTCGGAGTCCTAACGTGTCCAAAAGCCGGCCAACACCATCGAGCAGTGGATAGACAATTGCTGATCACGCCGAAGTTGCGTGTCTCAAGGCTGCCTGACAAGTGGCACCGATTGCATCAACAGTGACTGAATACTCAGTGGCATCAGCACCTCGCTTGCCATTTCAGGAGAGTCGGAGGGGAGACCAATCACCGAGGGCGTTTTCGTGAAAGCGAACATTTGTCCAATTTTAGGCGAAAAAAACGAAAAACCCCAAAAAAGATTTTTTTTACGCACAAAAAACATCTTTGCAAACCAAAACACAAGCGTAAAAAAGAAATGCAACAATAGCAACACATTTTGCTTCATGTTACAAGAATTATGGGTTGTTCGCAAAAACCATTGGAGCTGCTCGGAATTCTATTAAGTTCCCCGTGATTTAAAAGCAGGTGATGAGTGCATGTTGAGGCCAGGGGTCACTTTCTTCAAGGGTTACCTGGGTCAGTTAAGTGCAAATAACCAGAAATCAGAGCTCGTGATGAATGGGACACATACGCCCGCGTGTGTGTGTGTGTTTAGGGTGTGGAGCGGTGGTGTAGCGGTTAGCGCGCTGCGCTACGAACCTGGCCACTCGGGTTCGATTCCCGTTCACGGCCAACACCGGTGACGATTGCCTGAACCGGTCCTGGGCCTCGTCCCCTAGGTCGACTCAGCCGCAAATGAGTACCTGGCACGATGTGTTAACATCGCCACTAGGGAGACAAAGGCGGCCGGGCGTGGTGCTGGCCACCCACCACCTGCCGTGCCGGCCTTCATAGGTGCTCGCTAACAGCACTTGCTCCTACAGTCTGCTAAGCCTATACGGGGATCTTTGCTTTTATTTTAGTTTTGTATGGTGGAGAGTGGTAGTGTAGTGGTTAGCGCGCCGCGCTGCGAACCCGGCGACCCGGGTTCGATTCCCGTTCACGGCCAACACCGGTGACGATTGCCTGAACCGGTCCTGGGCCTCGTCCCCTAGGTCGACTCAGCCGCAAATGAGTACCTGGTGCGATGTGGTGATGGCCACCACACCCCATCGTGTGCCGTGCCGGCCTTCATAGGTGTGCCACTCGCTAACATCACTTGCCCCAAACAGTCTGTTACAGGCTACACGGGGGATCTTTGTCTGTGTGTGATAGTGTGGTGGTGCTCGCTAACAGCACTTGCCCCAAACAGTCTGTTAAGGCTACACGGGGGATCTTTGTCTGTGTGTGATAGTGTGGTGGTGCTCGCTAACAGCACTTGCCCCAAACAGTCTGTTACAGGCTACACGGGGGATCTTTGTCTGTGTGTGATAGTGTGGTGGTGCTCGCTAACAGCACTTGCCCCAAACAGTCTGTTACAGGCTACACGGGGGATCTTCGTTTGTGTGTGATAGTGTGGTGGTGCTCGCTAACAGCACTTGCCCCAAACAGTCTGTTAAGGCTACACGGGGGATCTTTGTCTGTGTGTGAGAGTGTGGGGGTGCTCGCTAACAGCACTTGCCCCAACAGTCTGTTAAGGCTACACGGGGGATCTTTGTCTTTGTCGTAGGGTGGCGGAATGGCACGTCGCAGACACGAGCACTTGGCGACCAAGGAGATGAGACCAGAGCAGTGTGGGGAAACATGTCAGAGACAAGTTCAAGTTCATTTATTTGGTATATCCATGTGAGCCATTCGGATCTTGAATCGGGTGCAACCGCAACAAACAAAAAACATGAACAAAAAACATCTTAAAGTGAATATGTGACTAAGTGCAAATATAAATCCAAGTAAAGACAGCAAAACATTGCAGAAAAAAATCACCGTACACCAACGCTGTGTGCAAAAATCCCAATGGAATGCAAGTCAAACAACAACAACAACAACAACCACAAGACAACTTAGATTAGGGCCATCGGTCTAACTCTGTACTACAACAAACAAACATGGCTAAACCAATACACTTTTCGAAATCACCAAAATAAAGCCATGAAAGCAATGAAACAGAGACAACATCGGCGATCCGGGATTATGGACTTGTGCGACAACTGGTAGGAATCTAGCAGCAGGAGGAGGAAGGAAGCGATGACAATTTTTTTCCTTGCGGCCACTCTCTTCTCAGATCAGTGGAAACCTCGACTCGTCGCTTATCGGTTGCTGGGGAGCTTCAGCCTCTTCATTGCCCCACAAAACACCCCCCCCCCCCGCCCCCCCCCGAACGCTCTTTGTTGATTCTCACAATTTTCACCGCCTGTTTTCAAATATTTGCACCGATTTGGCCTGCCCAGCCCTTACCCACACACACACACACAAGTATGTGTGTGTGTGTGTTTTACATCACACACACACGCCCTCCACTGCTACCGATAAAACACACACACACACAGACTCACAAGTATGTGTGTTAACCAAGAAATAAGTGCGTGCGTGTGTGTGACGGGTGGATTTTTATTCGGGTGTGCTGCTGGCGACCCCCCCCCCCCCCCACTTCGTGTGTTCCGTACTGGTCTTCATCGGTGCCACTCGCTAACAACCTCTTGGCCACAAACGTGTCCGCAGGCTGCACGGGGGATCTTTGGGTCTTTGAGTGGATCTCATGGTCACGCTGTCACCCCGCCTTTATCTGGCGGTCCGCGACATCTGCACGTCAGCTGAAGCTCGGACTCAAAGTGCCCGCAACGTCATCCGGAACGCCAAGTTGCTTGAATATTGAGAGAGATAAATAACAATTCGATTTAAAAAAATATATATAGAGAGTATCTTGGTGAAAAGCGCAGCATCTCCACGGTGTGGTAACAGGTAAACGCGAATGTGATTCTTGTTTTATTTTTGATATATCTGACTGCTGTCTCTGTCTGGGTGTCATCAAGTGTTTCGGTTACGGTGCACAAAGCGTTCTCCGTGTCCTCTGTGCGTGCGCTATGAGCCGCCGTGGTGTGCTGGAGACCAAATAAGTATAACCCGTAAAAACAAAGTTTTTCACTATAAATCCTTTATATGCGTGGCGGCTAGAGTCCTCTCGTCCTCTGGCTTGAGATGGCTGCCACCTATGGGTCAGATGATTGTCTGCCAGTATTAAGCAATTGGTAATTAAATATTTAATTTGTTTTCCCTAAACAGTGTAAAAATTCTGGAAAAAATTTTTCACGAACATTAATTGTCTCGCACAACGAGTCTGTGCAAAATGTCAGCTCGATTGGATCACGGGAAGTGGGTTAAAAAACGACCGAAAGATTTGCACGGTCGTAAGCAAGCAAGCACGCAAGCAAGCAAGCGAACTTAATATAAAGGATTTTAAAAAGGCATGGAATAGACCAGGAGAGGCTGTTCATAAATAATCTCTACGGTGGCAAGCATGTTTCGTCAGTCACCTGCTTATTTGATTGACCGACGCGTGCGTATTCGTAAATTAGCGCAATTTACAGCAATGTCAAATAAGAAAACATTTCGTCAAATCACTCGCGACGACGACGACACGCATTGTGACACGCGTGTTTTGTGGAATTGTGTTTCTATTATTCACCACATTTGCTGAGCACAGGCCCAAATAACTCAAAAACTTTAATCTCCCAACGTTTGAAGTGTGAACGAGTTTCTTGAATTAACCAAAGGTTGTTATTGTAAGAGCTTGGGGGAAAGGGAACTACGACAGGGCGGTACAGAGTAGAGCAGCGTGAGGGAAGCAGAAATAGAAGCGTCGTGACCTGCAGTGCGATGGTTGAGTGAGTGGCTGTGTGAGTGAGTAGGTGGTTGAGTGAGTGGGTGGGTGGTTGAGTAAGTGGCTGTGTGAGTGAGTAGGTGGTTGGGTGAGTGGGTGGTTGGGTGAGTGGGTGACGGGTGTGAGTGAGTGGGTGGTTGGGTGAGTGGGTGGGTGGTTGGGTGAGTGGCTGTGTGAGTGAGTGGGTATAGTTGGGTGAGTAAGTGAGGGTGTGAGTGAGTGAGTGGGTGGTTGGTTGAGTGGGTTAGTGGTTGCTTGAGTGGGTTGGTGGTTGAGTGGGTGGTTAGGTGAGTGGGTGGTTGGGTGAGTGAGTGAGGGGTGTGAGTGAGTGGGTGGTTGGGTGAGTGGGTTGGTGGTTGCGTGAGTGGGTGGGTGGTTGAGTGAGTGGTTGGGTGAGTGGGTGAGGGTGTGAGTGATTGGGTGGGTGGTTGGGTGAGTGGGTTGGTGGTTGAGTGAGTGGGTTGGTGGTTGAGTGAGTGCGTTGGTGGTTGAGTGAGTGGGTGGTTAGGTGAGTGGGTGAGTGGGTTGGTGGTTGAGTAAGTGGTTGGTTAGGTGAGTGAGTGGGTGGTTGAGTGAGTGGGTTGGTGGTTGAGTGAGTGGGTGGTTAGGTGAGTGGGTTGTGGCGTGAGTGAGTGAGTGAGTGATTGGGTGGCTGGCTGTGTGAGTCAGTGGTTGAGGGAGTGGGTTGGTGGTTGAGTGAGTGGGTGATTGAGTGAGTGAGTGGGTGGTTGAAAGGGGAGACGAGAAGACCTAAGAACAGATGGTGGGATGCTCTTGGGCAGATCTATAGGTTATCTGCTAGTCTCTGGCTCTCTCTGTTAGGCTATGGATCTATATGCGAGTATATGAGTCTCTGAGTGATTCTATGGAACTCACTGTGTCAGTCTATGGGTATCTGAGTGAGTCTATGGATCTCTGAGTGAGTCTATGGGTCTCTGTGAGTCTTAGAGGTGGGATGAGACTGTCAGTGCAGATATTGGAGGTGGTCCCTGCGGCGTATCTCCTGTGCAGCAGCTGCGGGATCTGTCGGATGGGTAGATGACGTTGGTGAGCTTGTTGGTGGTGGGGAGCGGTGGCACAGTGGTTAGCGCGCTGCACTATAAACCCGGCGACCCAAGTTCGATTCCCGCTTATGGCCAACATCAGTAACAATTATCTGAACCAGTCCTGGGCCTTCCCTAGGTCGACTCAGCCTCAAATTTGTACCCGGTGTGATGTGTAAACATCGCCACTGGGGAGACAAAGGCGGTCGGGCGTGGTGCTGGCCACCCACCCCCTCGTGTGCCGTGCCGGCCTTTGTAGGTGCTCACTAACAGCACTTGCCCCAACAGTCTGTTAAGGCTACACGGGGGATCTTTGTCTTTGGTGGCATCATCGACTTTGGCCACGATGATGTCTTGACCTTTTTGTTGTGTAACCTTCATGAATAAGTCGTGTTCGCATTATTTCTCCCCACATGAATGTCGCCACATGTCAGCGCACTCCATTACGAGGGCACGGTTCACTCATTCAGACACACAGACCTCGGGCCGTGTAATATGATGATGATAATAATAAAGAATTACAACTTAATACGTGGCAGGTTTATTTATAGCTAATATTATTCGTAAAGTCACGTAGAAGGGAAATAATAAAATAATAAAAATAAAACATTTAATTATTCTCACGACGTTTCGGCCACAACGCAAGCAGCCGTCATCAGGTGAAGAACAGGTCTGTCGGAAAGACAGCGTTTTGTTAACGTGACATTCAGACGCGGTCTTTCCGACAGACCTGTTCTTCACCTGAGGACGGCTGCTTGCGTTGTGGCCGAAACGTCGTGAGAATTATTTTATGTTTCATTTTTATTATTTTATTATTTCCCTTCTACGGGACTTTACCGAAAGAACCAAGAAGATGAATCACTGCAGTCACGAAAGCTTTAAATCGAAAAAATTTTCGTAAAATGTATGTTTTGGGTTAGACCACATTTGTGTCGTGAAGCCCTCCACAAACCCAACACGGCCAAACATTCAGTTGTCACGCGTGTTAATAATCACAAGAATGGTAATGCTCAGAATCAAGGTGTGTTTTTTGGGGTTAGATCGCATAAGTCGAAATGCGTCGTTAACCCGCCACCAACCGACACAGCCGACCGGTAAGGTTTGTCACTTAAAATTTCCACGTTTCGTTTACGTGACAATTAAAGTTACTGTGAATAATATTGGTCGTGAAAGCCGACGTGGAAAAAACCAATAGTCGTGCTTTCTCTGTCGAAAGGCGCTATGAAAGGTCGTGACCAAATGACCTCGTTCACGAGGGCAGAGCAGCATGCCTACACGTGAGCTATCAACCCTCACCAATTGCCTGTCACGTGTTCAGTGAAAGTTAAAGGCGCTGCAATGCAACTGTTCTTTTCACATCACTGCTGGTGAAAGGGGGGTCGTGGGTGTGATCCCAACCCTGACGCCTGCTGTGTATTTGGAGTTTGCGTGTCTGTCTCTCTCTCTCTCTCCGTGGTCGCGTGGATTTTTCTCCGGGACCTCCAGTTTTGCCCTCCACATTTAGTATCGACATCACGCGTTTAGAGTATTTGGCTGCTATAGATTACCACGATAAGCCACTTTCGTTAAGCTATCATTCGTGATAGCCAGGTCGATTCTGAAATAGAGCTACATAGCTCAGTGGGCCTTACCTGGTAAAATAAAATATATATAGTTTAGTAGTATCTTCTTGGTTCTTTCGGTAAAGTCACGTAGAATGGAAATAATAAAATAATAAAATAAAACATAATAAAATAATTCTCACGACGTTTCGGCCACAACATTCAGACGCTGTCTCCCCGACAGACCTGGTCTTCACCTGATGACGGCTGCTTGTGTTGTGGCCGAAACGTCGTGAGAATTATTTTATAATGTTTTATTTTATTATTTTATTATTTCCATTCTACGTGACTTTACCGAAAGAACCAAGAAGATGAATCCCTGCAGTCACGAAAGCTTTAAATCGAAGTTTAGTAGTAGTTTCATAGCTTTAGTCAAATAGGCATCGGTCGTCAATATGGGGCGCCGTTGCTCAGGGAGTGTTTCCCAATCACGCACAATAACTTGTGAATGCTTTACGATCTTGGCCACAATTGACCCCGAATATGACATTGTGATGACAACGTGACGCGGTTTTGTTCAGAACGAGCCTCGCTTAACACGGAGTGTGCACGTGTGTTGCGCCGGCCGCGAAGGTTCTGAGCCAATCACAGCGGCGTACGACGGGGGCAGCAACATGGCTGCCAGCGTGATCCACCAATCAGGGAGCGGGGAGGCGAATCTCTTCGTTAAGTCACTCGATGACCACGAGATGGAGACCGCTCGAGACAGCGACGACTTCGAAGAGGACGACCAGTTCGATGATGAGATGCTGCTGGACGACGACACCAACTATGGTAACGACTGTGGTAACGATGGTAACGACTATGGTAACGATGGTAACGAGGGCAATGAGGGACGGCGGGGAGGACGAACATCTCCCGGGGGCTCCGGGAAATGCGAGTCAGCCGGACGGTGACTGACCGATTGCCGAGTAGAATTGACACAGCCGACGACAACAACAACAACAACAGACCTGAAAGCGTTCGTCAATAACATCGTGGCCTTAAGTGAAAAAGTATATGTTTATATATTTAACATGCGACGTTTAGGGCAATGGATCCTACTTTATAGCCTATTAAGGGGTCTTCATGACAACCCAAAGTGCAGCTGTGGCATGATAAAAACAATGTATCGTTTTAAAAAAAATGCATATTATGTACAGCGCTCTGTGATCCATGGATAAAAATTGCTATATAAGTCCAATGGTGGAAAGATGTTAACTACCTCGCCTGGTATACAGGAGGTCGTGGGTTCGATCCCAACCCTGACGCCTGCATATTTGGAGTTTGCGTGTCTCTCTCCCCGTGGTCGTGGGGATTTTTCTCCTGGTCCTCCGGGTTTTCCCCTCCACATTTAGAATCAACATCACGCGTTTAGAGTATTTGGCTGCTATAAATTTCCGAAAGATGATAAGCCACTTCGTTGAGCTATCATTTGCGATAGCCCAGGTCACTTCTAAAAAGAGCTCAGTGAGCCGTCCTTACCGAGTAAAATAAAAAATAGTTTAAAAAAATGATTTGATTACTTGTCCACTAAGTTATTTACAATAACTACACGTGACCACAGAGGAACTCTATCGCATGGCTCGACGATTACGCACTCGCTGAATGAATGAATAGCACGTAAGTGAAGAAGGGTCATTGCCTGAAACGTCACCTATTTGATATATTTCAGGCAGTGTCACTGGCGAATGCAGTGAGTCTGTATTGTTGGTTGTGCCTGTGCACCGCTGACAATGCAGCTGCAGGCCTGCAGCAGCATCGCCCAATAAATTGTTTCGTTTAATTTCTCAATATATTTTTCGTGTGATTTCATTACCTTTCCTATACTTTGCACTCCTATCGTATTTTGTTGCATTGTCCGTTGTTGTCACGTGCTGACCCCGTGCCCCGACTGGACATGTGCGAAAAAGAGCTTCACAGCTCTTCGGATTTCTCCGGTATTAAATCATTTATTCGGATTCCGATAAACTCATCCGATCTAAAAAAAAAAAAACCTGACCGCTCGTCTCGCAGTCCATCCGGTGATGGGGGACAAGGAGGAAGAGGAGCAGGGGGATGACGACGACGAGGATGAGGATGAAGAGGATGAAGAGGGGACACAACCGCGCCAGCTGCTGCGCTTCGCCGAGACTGTGAGCTCCGACATCCAGCGTTTGTTCGGCCGCCGGGGAGCCGAGGGTGAGGGCCACTCGACCGGCTGGAGCGGCTCGCCCGGGACCTACCGCGACCGATTCGCGAGCGGCAAGTCCGGCAGGGAGCTGTACTACGCCGACCTCCTGCGGCTGGCCGAGGGAGGAGACTCGTGGTGGCGCTGTTCCTCAGCCTCCACCTCCTCTCACTCGCCGGGAGCGGTGGGAAACGCGAGCCGCCGCATCTCGTCGAGTAAGGAGACGGCCTCGTGGCTTTTACCGTTATCCAAGAGGGGCACACATCCACCCCCCCCCCCCCAATATTCAAATATGCTCAAAATGCCCCCCCCCCCAATTTATTGCTATAAAAATAATTGCTATGCTATGTAAATAAAAACAACAATTTGCTAAACCTTGGCCACAATATCTCGATCCCCCCCCTCGATCCCCCCCTCGATCCCCCCCTCGGTCCCCCCTCGATCTCCCCTCGATCTCCCCCTCGGTCCCCCCCTTGATCCCCCCCTCGATCCCACCCCTCGGTCCCCCCCTCGATCCCCCCTTCCCCCCCCCTCGGTCCCCCCCCTCGCCCCCCCTCGCTCTCCCTCGATCCCCCCCTCGATCCCCCCCTCCTTCCCCCCCTCGATCCCCCCCTCGATCCTCCCCTCGATCCCCCCCCTCGCCCCCCCCTCCTCGGTCCCCCCTCCTTCCCCCCTCCTTCCCCCCTCCTTCCCCCCCTCGACCCCCCTCTCGACCCCCCCCTCGGTCCCCGCGTGCAGCCACAGCCGGAGCGGCACGCGGCCGCGACGAGGAGCGGCCGCTGGGCCCTCTGAGCGAGCTCTTCTCGGGCAGCGCGAGGCCCTTCGCGGCGGGCGCGCGGCTGTGGAGCGCGCACCCAGCAGCCGTGCCCATGCTCAAGCGCCGCCTGCCCCCGTCGTTCTTCACAGGTCTCGCTCGGCCGCCCACCCCCCGTCACTAACATTATATTTTTTTATTTCACCAGGTGCTAAGCCCCGCTGAGCTATATAGATATTTTTTATTTCCAGAAAGCGGACCTGGGTATCACGAATGATAGCTCGACGAAGTGGATGAGTGGGTGAGCGAGTGGGTGAGTGTGTGGATGAGTGGGTGAGCGGGTGGATGAGAGAACGAGAAGATGTGCGAGTGGGTGAGTGATTGAGCGGGTGAGTGGATGAGTGGGTGAGCGAGTGGGCGAGTGGATGAGTGAATGAGAGGATGAGCGAGTTGTTGAGTGAGTGAGCGGTTGAGTGGATGAGTGGGTGAGCGAGTGGGTGAGTGGGCGAGTGGATGAGTGAATGAGAGGATGAGGGAGTGGGTGAGTGAGTGAGCGGGCCAGTGGATGAGTGCGTGAACGAGTGGATGAGTGCAGCTGAATGGTTAAATCCCATTCGAACTAAATCTCCAATAGTTTATCTTCAATGACCATAAAAAAATAAAATAATTAGAATTGAAAAGACCGCAATGTTTTGTGATACTGCGATGGCACTGGTGCACGAGCACAATAATTACAAACGCAACACATTTGTCCGTAACACTGCCCTATGAGGACAACACATTTATAATTAATAGGCAAAGGGAGGCCTTCGTCCAACATTGGATTGACCATCGCTGATGCTGCTGCTGCTGATGATGATAATCATTCGTGATTACGAGCACGTTGTTGTTGTCGTTGTTGTTGTCGTCTCTTCCCATGGACAGAGCCCACAACGGTGACGCCGGCTTGCGGTGGAGCAACGCGAGCCCACGCTGCGGCCGCTGGCGCTCTCGGCAACGCAGCCGATGCAGCTGCTGCTTCTGCTGCCGCTACCGGTGGTCTTCTCAACATCGAAGGCGGCGATTGTAACCTCGGCCACAGTAGCACCGGCTACTGCGGCGCTGATGGCGGCGGTGGTGATGTTGGGAGCGCGGGTGCCGGTCTCGCCGGTACGAGCAGCGCTGCTCGCGGGCTCGGCGGCGGCGGCGGCGGCGGCACGGGCATCATTTCCACGTGCACACCAGATTTCAGCGACCTGCTGGCCACGTGGGCCAACGAGGAGGAGGAGGCGGAGTGCAGCGGCGAGGAAGAAGGCTCATCCCTGGAGGCAGGACCCACGCTGGGACACGCAACCCCGGCCGCTCACCTCGCCGTGTCGTGCCAAGCGGCCACGTTCATCATGAGCCACGGCTGAGCGTCGGGCACCAATGCTGGGCGATTTGCTCTCGCACCTGTAATAAGATTCTGTGTGTGTGTGTGTACGTTTGCGTGTCGTTGCTTGCGGCTCTGCAACCTGTTTGTGTTGTGATCACGATGAAGAGCGCGCGCAGGTTGATTTTGTTTTGGCGCCGCAGTTGAAACAATTCCCCGCGAGAATTCCTTAAAGATCACCCACCGCCTCTGTGTGCAAGCCAGCCGTGTAAATCGGTGCGATGCGGTTAAGTCGATCGGCAGCTCGCGTTCGGTGGGGGTAAAGTGTGGGTACTAGCACGACACCTGGCCAGCGTGGAAGAGTAGGCCAAACACCCTCTAGAGTATGATAATTGTTTTTTTACCCTTCTATCTGGCAACAAAACTGACACCTTTTTACAAGGAGTCATGTTTGCATAGACCGCAATACCTGCAGTCATAATAAAAAGGTGTCAGTTTTGTTGCCAGATAGAAGGGTAAAAAACCAATTATCATATTTTTACTGGCAAATGAGGTTCCCATGGTGTAAACCCCTCTAGAGTAGTGGGGGGAGGAGGGGGTTACTCTTAGAGAATGTTACCTTTGTTTCCAGCAGTGGCAGCATTAATCATTTTTTTTTCTCATTATTATCATAAAGAGAAACGTGTTTTCTTAGCCTTGGGAAAAAAAATCGCCACGGGGCTTTCTGTAGATAACAGTGAACAAAGGATGGCTTAAAACAGCCTCACTTTGAGTCCGGGAGCAGGCGGCGTGCTTGCAACGAACACACACACGCGCCGCGCGCACACCGCAACGCCACCACCGGCCCTGACATCTCCCGCAAACATTTAGAAAGTCCCACAGCACCTTTTGAACGCTGATACGTTGTTCACACACACACACAACCCACGCATCTATTTGACGTCCGGGGCAGTTCACCTGCGTTGGCGTTCAGCAAGTCCCCTGACGCCTGCCGAAGATACATTGAACGGCAAAAATAAGTAATATTTAAAAAAACTTTTTTTTAACACGCTTTTTATGAAATGTACTAGTAATGGCAGAACTTCATGACTCCAGGATGACCCGAAGCTTGCCATAACGTAAGGGACCGTGGGCAATTGCAGCCAACGTCAGTTGACCGTGGACAATTAGACCCAAGCCGAAATATCACATATATAAAATAATGTTTAAAAATATATATTTCGTATTTTAATGATAGAATATAGTCTTGTCATCAGTATGACAAAAGTATACCAAGTCTGCAGTCGATACCACATTTGAAAGTGGGTTAAAATTGAGTTACAAGATTTCAGGATACAACAACGACATCAACAGACACAGAGCGAGTTAAAAGAAAGCGTGTAATAAAAAAACCCAGTCCAGAGGATGCGCGTGTCCGCCGAGGAAATTCACTCCCAGAAGGAAGGGCCGTCCAGCCGATGTGATGCGCATAACAACAGCAGCAACAACACCAAAAAAAATGTTCACGTGGAGAGACAGATACGAAAAGGGGGCGGATTGTCTGCTTCTTTTATGTTGTTACTGATGAGTTTGAGATATCAGCAGCAGCAGCAGCCTGGGATTTCGTACCTCGGGTCACGGCGTGAGAAGAGAGGCGCTCTTCCTTCGCCCGCACCTCCCATGTGCACGGTTGGCTACGTGCGGTGCAAAGGAAGTTCAACGGAGTATGTACATACGTGGAGGGAGGGCGCATTGCACGTGGCTCGTTGCGGCCCATGCAATGTGATGCGATGCCAGGATCATTTTATCGCTTTGCAGCGCTCCAGTGATCTGCCGAAGGATGCTCACACAATCACGGACGACACGAGCGAGTTGAGAATTGGCAGCAGGGATAAATCATTCATCACCACCACCGCCACTCATCACCCGAGCGAATCAATGGTTTTTCACGATTCGATTAAAGCTCACAATTCTTGTTTTCGATGATCACACTCGGACACACACGCGAGGTACAAATCCAGAGCTTCAGAATGGATACTCGCTGGGCTACAGGAGGATTGCATCCCGTTTCATTTGAATCGTAACTAACTGCCTTGTTTCTCAGCCACACATGTATAACACGGTCTGACCTATAAACTAGACATTTTTGTTTTACCAAGTAAGGCTCACTGAGCTATATAGCGCCTTTTCATACGCGACGTGGCCACAGGTGACAGCTAAACGAAGCGGTTTGTCATTTGGGTATTTATAGCAGCCAGATAATCTCCACACGTGACGCCGATTCTAAATGCGGAGGGGAAAAAACCACGCACCACGGGGAGAGAGAGAGAAACACTCAGACTCCAAATACACAGCAGGCGTCGGCAGCGAACCCACGACCTCCTGCATACCAGGCAAGGGAGTTAAATACAGCTATCGTATTGATACAGCTATCGTGCTGTGACGGTTCCACCTGAAGACGGAAGCTTGTGTTGCCTCCGAAACGTCGTGATTTTTATTTTATTTTTATTTTACTTTTATTAATTTAAATTTTTTACCTACGTGACTTTACCGAAACAACCTAAGAATATGAATCCTTGCAGTCACGAAAGCTTCACATCTAGAATTAAGGGAGTTAAAATCTCGCAACCGCAGCGCGGTCACCACCCCCCCAGCCCCCCTTTTTTTCTTTCTCTCCAACTCTGCCTATCCCCTCCAGTCCCCCCTGTGGCCCCCGTCTCCACCACCGTCTCCCTGTCTGAACTCCGCACTTTGGAGGTCGCAGCGACATGACAGTGTGTGCGTGTGCGTGCTCTCAATGTGTGGGGAGCGGTAGTGTAGCGGTTAGCGCCTTGTCCACTGCCAAACACGCAGGCAGTTGTTACTGACACAGAGGAGGAGTCTGTGAGCGCGGTGCAACTGGGTCGAGATAGGGGTTGTGGGTGAGTCGTTTAAGTGTGTTTGTGTGTATGTGTGGTTTGTGAGTTGGGGAGCGGTAGTGTAGGGGTTAGCGCGCAGCACTACGAACTCGGTGACCCGAGTTCGATTCCCGCTCACGGCCATCACCAGTGACGATTATTTGAACCGGTCCTGAGCCTCCCCTAGGTCGACTCAAACGAGTACCTGGTGCGGTGTGTAAGCGTCGGCACTGCGGTGAGACAAAGGCGGTCGGGCGTGGTGCTGGCCACCCACCCTCTCGTGTACCGTTCCGGCCTTCATAGGTGCTCGCTAACAGCACTTGCCCCTACAGTCTTGATAAGGCTATACGGGGGACCTTTGTTCTCAATGTATGGCTGCCGCGATACGTCGTGACGATACGAGATAAAGTTTTCACGATATGAACATTATCGCGTTATCGGTTTCCCGTAAACTACGACGAAACTGCTTTTTACTTTACCAGGTAAGTCCCCGCTGAGATGTGTGGCTCTTTTTCAAAAGCGACGTGGCTATCACAAATGATAGCTCAACGAAGTGGCTACTCACGTGGACATTTATAGCAGCCAAATACTCTAAATGCGCGTTGTTGATTTTAAATGCGGAGGGAAGACCCGGAGAAAAATCCACGCGACCACGGGGAGAGAGACACGCAAACTCGCAAATATACAGCAGCAGGCGTCAGGGTCGGGATCGAACCCACGCTCTCCTGTATACCAGGCGAGGTAGTTAACATCTCGCCATAGCGGCGTGTGAATGTGTATTTCACGTGTTTGTGCGCGCGCGCGATTTGCTGTGCTGTACTTCACGTACGAATAAAGGCCTGCGGAAGAAAATCGAATTCAACTGAAAGTTCACTCGACGTAAGCCCCTTCCTTGCCTGCTATTAACACCCTCACGGTCATTGTGCCGTCACAATCTGCGACTCGGTTTGGCCTCGTCGCACGCCGTCACGGCAAGGCGACGGCGTACAAAGCCACGTGGTGTCGTCCATTTATCCGTAACACACTGCGTGACGCTGCCGCATGCGGGTGACATCACAGATGTGACGTCACCGCTCACTTGCCGTGCAATATATTATATCCATTATTGCGCCCCCCCCCCCCCCCCCATAAATACAAAAGTCTATTTTTATACTTTTTGCATTGTGTACAGTCTGGAAGCTACCCGCATGCCAAATTTCAAGTTTGTAGCATGTTGGGAAGTATGCTAAACATTTCGAACAGACACACATTCACAAATTTCTCTTTCATATAGATTATGAGTCTTTTTTTAAAACCACCACTAATGCAACAGGCATTGGCCCAGCAAACACGCAACGCTGGGTCCAACGTACGTCAGGTGCAGATTGGGTTCCTGTATGACAGACGCGTGTTGTAAAACATGTGTGTGTGCGTGCGTGCGATTTCTTCTCACCGGCGTAAACTATCGGATTAAAAAAATGGTACCGTGGCAAATTTTGACCGTGCAAAAACACTGCAGCTATTCCCAGAGGTGTGGACTCGAGTCATGTGACTTGGACTCGAGTCATGAATTTGATGACTTCAGACTCGACTTGGACTTGCATAACAATGACTTTGTCCCACCTCTGAGATGTGGACTCGAGTCATGTGACTTGGACTCGAGTCAGACTCGAGTCATGAATTTGATGACTTCAGACTCGACTTGGACTTGCATAACAATGACTTTGTCCCACCTCTGGCTATTCCCGTTCGGAAATCCGCTTGTGACCAGACACGTTTTACGATACTGCATTGGCAGTGGTGCACAAGCACACATTGCAGAAACACGTGTGAATAACACTGCTCTCAACATGCGTTTAAGAGTATGTTTTACTGATCTAAATTTCCACACGATAAGCAACTGGGACTCTTCCCCCCCACCCCCCCCCCCCCGCTTCGCCAACCTGCGCGGTGCAGTTATACGTTGAACTTCTTTCGCACCGTACGTAGCCAACCGTGCACACCGGAGGTTATCCCACAAGGCTACGGTGGCTAGGAGACGTTAACTACCTCGCCTCGTATACAGGATGACATAGGTTCGATCCCGACCCTGACGCCTGCTGTTGTATATTTGGAGTTTGCGTGTCTCTCTCTTTATTCGTGGTGAGATGTTAACTACCTCGCCTCGCATACAGGAGGTCGTGGGTGCGACCCCGACCCTGACGCCTGCTGCTGTATATTTGGAGTTTGCGTGTCTCTTTCCTCGTGGTCGCGTAGATTTTTCTCCGGGTCCTCCGGGTTTCCCTCCTGACAACATTGAGAATGGACATCACGCGTTTAGGGTATTTTGCTGATGTACATTTCCACGCGATAAGCCACTTCGTTGAGCTATCCTTTACGATGGCCAGATCGCTTCCTGAAAAAAAAAAACTGTATGGCTCAGTGGGCCTTACCTGGTGAAAAAAAAATACTCGTTCAGTTTTAAATATGTATATACATATATACTCTATACATAATAGGGGACGTTTCGGGGCAATAGACCTTCTTCAAAGCAGAGATAGAGTGGACCGGCCGGAGATGTTGAGTGAATAATAGTTGGGCGAAACTTGAGCTATTGCACAGTGGTGGTCCCCGTTAGACATTCGAATGTTGACAATGTTTTCGGACGAACAACCCTTAATTTACCCATGACAACAGCCTGATACCGAATATCACAGCCTGAATTAAAAAAATAAGCACATACTCTACCTGTGCGTGTGTGTGTGCACAGACTCACTTGCAGTGACATGATCGTGTTGTCTCAAAAGTAAGGGTATAACGCTTCCTGCACCAGCCAACACGACTGCTAAATACTTCGGCAATGGTTTTATGTGTGTGTGAGAGTTAGATCTCTCTTGTACTTGAGAAACAAATGTGGATTTTCTAGTTCGGCCGCGTGCTCCTGTTCCCTGGTGACGGTGACCTCACGCTTAATGTCGGCGGATAGTTTTTTTCTTCTGAAAGCTATCTTTAGATTGTTTTTTGGAGGAGTTTGTTAATGGGAAACTGTGGGTAGGCGTTGCAATACACTCCCTCAAAATTTGTTTTGGACGTACCATGTACTGTACGTTGAACTTTTTTCGCACCGTACGTAGCCACCCGCGCTCATAGGAGGTACGGGGGAAGGACAACACCACAACAAACACACAAACAAGCAGTTCCAAAGAAATTAGTTTTCAATCTCGACTTAAAAAGTGCATAGCTACCAGTGGCTTCCAAATGTCGGAAGGAAGACCGTTCCAGACGGCCGCATTTCCTCTTCGTGACGTGATCTGTGGTTAGGGCACCGCGCTACGAATCCGTGAGACCGGGGTTCGATTCCCGCTCACGACAAACATCGGTGACGAAAGTTTTAACCGCCTCTGGGCACCCCCTAGGTCGACTCAGCCGTAATTGAGTACCTGGCGCGGCCGGTGTGTAAACGTGAGCACTGGGGAGACAAAGGCGGTCGGGCGTAGGAGTTGCTGGCCACCCACCCCGTGGTGTGCCGTGCCAGCTTGATAGACGCTACTCGCTCACAAAACTTTTCTCCAATAGTCTGTAAACATCTCCATGCGGGATCATTGTCTTTGTTGTATTTTTTTATACTTTTATTGACATCGGGCACGAGTTTTGGGGTGCGTTTTACTTTCCAGAGCATGTTTTGATCCGGAGAATGCGGTAGTAGGCAAGTGTGTCCATTGTAGTTTATTAGCGAAAGTGGAGTAACATGCATGTCGACACAGGGCACAGGGCCCAACATCAATCATCAAGATCAAAACGTACGTTCACAAAAACGAAATAAACACCTTCATCAATAACACTTCCTTAAAGGAAATATACGCTGCCAAGCCTGGTGGTGCCCATTCAGACGCTGTCTTTCCGACAGACCTGTTCTTCACCTGAGGACGGCTGCTTGCGTTGTGGCTGAAACGTCGTGAGAATTATTTTATTATGTTTATTTTTATTATTTTATTATTTCCCTTCTACGTGACTTTACCGAAAGAACCAAGAAGATGAATCCCTGCAGTCACGAAAGCTTTAAATCGAAATTTTATTGTTTTATTTTTATTATTTTATTATTTCCCTTCTACGTGACTTTACCGAAAGAACCAAGAAGACGAATCCCTGCAGTCACGAAAGCTTTAAATCTAAATTTTATTGTTTTATTTTTATTATTTATTATTTCCCTTCTACGTGACTTTACCGAAAGAACCAAGAAGATGAATCCCTGCAGTCACGAAAGCTTTAAATCGAAATTGTATTATGTTTTATTTTTATTATTTTATTATTTCCCTTCTACGTGACTTTACCGAAAGAACCAAGAAGATGAATCCCTGCAGTCACGAAAGCTTTAAATAGAAATTTTATTGTTTTATTTTTATTATTTGTATTACTTCCCTTCTACGTGACTTTACCGAAAGAACCAAGAAGATGAATCCCTGCAGTCACGAAAGCTTTAAATCGAAATTTAACATGTATAATAGTCTACGTTTTCTGTCAATACCCCTCATTCATGTGGCGTTGCTGATGGTTGGGAAAGCAATAAAAAACACACACACACAATGGCTTATTCCGCTATGCCCTGTATCGCCCACTCTTACACATTTACACCACCTTTTGAGTGCGATGGTTGGGGGGGGGCCGTCACCAACCCATCCGAGAACTATCCAGGCTGAAAACCATGCTTAGCTGCCAAGATTTGACGATATCGGGTGCGTTCCAGGTCACTGTGCATTGTGCCCTTATGCAAATTATTTGGTGAACACTGCTGCTGCCTAAGCCGAGCTATGGCCCACTCACTGGGCTTGCATAACTCTGTTTTCAGAAGCTACCTGGCCACAATTTATCGCCAAATAAAGTTGCTTCTCGCGCGTACATTTCTAGCAGCCAAATGCTCTGAACGCACGTTGATTCTAAAATGTGGAGGGGAAAAACAGGAGGACCCGGGAAAAAATTCACGCGACCACGGAGAGAGAGAGACACGCAAACTCCAAAATTCACAGCAGGCGTTAGGGTCGGGATCGAATACACGACCTCCTGTATACCAGGCGAGGTAGTTAACATCTCCTAGCCACCGCTGCTGCGTTGTCAGTGGCGGATAAGCACAATTAACAACAACAGCAACAACGCTGACGCCTTAAAAGGGGAACAATATATAATAGGTGACGTTTCGGGCAATGACCCTAATTTATAGTACATAAAATCTAATGCGCATTCAACTTATTTATCTGCTCTGAAGAAGGGCCATTTCCCGAAACGTTGCCAATTTTTTTTGTTCCATTCAAGGCTTAAGTGTGATTGACGAACGAAAGTTTTTTTGTTATATTGATATTGTGTTTGTCTAATGGTACTGTAGCAATATAAGCAACAGAGACAAAGTTTCCCCGTATAGATCCCCCGGCATTCGAGGGAGGGGGGGGGGGTGAGTGGCGAGAACCACGCCCGGCCGCCTTTGTCTCCCCAGTGGCGATGTTAACACACCGCTCCAGGTACCCATTTGAGGCTGAGTCGACCTACGGGGAAGCCCATGACCGGCTCAGATAATTATCACCACTCATGTTGCCTCGTAAGCCGGATACTAAACGTGGTTTCGCCGGGTTCATAGTGCAGTGCGCGCTCCGCCAACGACGCTGTCGCTCCCCACGTGCACGTTTCAAATGCCTTGCACGCGTACCACGTGGCGTGAGTTACCTGCGATGGAACGGGCCACTGACGCTTCTGAAGAATTCAACTTCCTTGTCGAATACGAGCTGTCACGCGCTCACGCACATTCCTACCTGCGTTCCACACGCGCACGTACCTCGGATGCTTCCCCTATATACACACGCGCGCCTATACAGTGTAACTACTTACCCGTCCACGTAGTGTACTTTAACGTTAACGCACTAATCCGACTGCCTAGAAGACTTGCACTTACAAACTCACCTGCTTCGAACTTGTCTGCCTAACACACACTCACCTGTGTGTTTAACACACCTACACACACTCACCTGTGTTTAACACACCTGCACTCACACACACTCACCTGTCAGCCTAACACACCTACACTCACACACACTCACCTGTGTGTTTAACACACCTACACTCACACAAACTCACCTGTGTTTAACACATCTACACTCACACACACTCACCTGCCTCTCTAACACACCTACACTCACACACACTCACCTGTTTGTCTAACACACCTACACTCACACACTCACCTGCCTCTCTAACACACCTACACTCACACACACACACCTGTTTGTCTAACACACCTACACTCACACACACTCACCTGCCTGCCTAACACCCTTACACTCACACACCTCACCTGTCAGCCTAACACACCTACACTCACACACACTCACCTGACTGCCTTACACACCTACACTCAAAACACTCACCTGTATCTCTAACACACCTACACTCACACAATATTACTTGCCATCCTATCACACTCCCTCTTGCGTATGTATGTTGAACCTCTTTTGCACCGTACGTAACCAGCTGTGCTTCTACTACCTGCCTACCTAACACACACACATTTAACACTAACACACACACATTTAACACTAACACACACCCCTTAACTAAAACTACCACACACCTGCCTGCCTAACACACACACTCACACATTTAACACTAACACACACACACATGTAACACTAACACACACACACACTTTAACTAAAGCTACCACATACCTGCCTGCCTAACACACATACACACACACGCCTGACACACGCAACTCTCTCTACGTAACTAGCACCACACACACGCATTTAATATATGCACACACCTGCCTGCCGAGCAGCACACAACAATATAAGGAAGGGCTCATTCACTTCCGTATGAAGACCACGCTTACCCAAGCACACACACACTCAGACACAGGTACGCACACTCAGACACAGGTACGCGCACACACGCACACAGGTACGCACACACACTCAGACACAGGTACGCACACTCAGACACAGGTACGCACACAGACTCAGACATAGGTACGCACGCACACTCAGACACAGGTACGCACGCACACTCACACACAGGTACGCACACACACACAGGTGTGTCGACGTTCTACCTGCCCTCAACTGGCGCGTGACATCTACGCAACAGGTGTCTGCTCGGAATCCAAGCGGGGGTCTGCTCGCAATCCCGGCTACGGGGGGGGGGGGGGGTGGGAGGGGGGTGGTGATGGATTCCGGAGACGAGACGATGGAAGGCTGGTTGGAAAAGCGACGCGACAAATTTGTGAGTTCGACTTTGTCCGCGAGAAGCACACAGTTCAACAACACGACGTGAAGTCCGGGGGGGTGGGGGGTTGCCACCTGACCGGGCTAAATCCGTATTAAACCCGGGCAGGTGGTAGACCCCAGACCCGGACAGGTGGCAATGGACCGTCCGGGTTTAGCAGTCGTCTGCCTCTGCCGAACGCACAAACACATTTGCAAAAACCCGAGCGGTCGGAGAATTGTTATCGGAGTTCGCGTGGCACGAATTGGTTTGTAGTGATATCTGCTGCCGGTCGGTATTGTGTTGGACTTCATGGCAGTCGACTGCAGAGTTCGTATAGACTTCTTAGTGCCGAACGGCTTTAGTCTGCGCAACAGGTGGGTAAACCCTCGCCTAACCACCCCATCCACTCACTCACTCAACCATTCACTCACTCACTCACGCACTCACCCATTCACACACTCACTCACGCACTCACCCATTCACACACTCACTCACCCATTCACACACTCACTCGCTCAACCCACTCACTCACTCACCCATTCACACACTCACTCGCTCAACCATTCACACACTCACTCACTCACCCATTCACACACTCACACACTCACGCACCCATTCACACACTCACTCACCCATTCACACACACACTCACTCACTCACCCATTCACACACTCACTCACTCACCCATTCACACACTCACTCACCCATTCACACACTCACTCACTCACTCACCCATTCACACACTCACTCACCCATTCATACACTCACTCACTCACTCACCCATTCACACACTCGATCGTTCAACCCACTCACTCACTCATCCACTCAAACACTCACTCCCTCAACCCATTAATACACTCACTCACTCACTCATCAATTCACACACTCATTCACCTGGACAGTCCGACAATTGTCACTGTATCTATCGCGTGACCGGTGTGCATTTCGCGAATTGATTTGTGCCGAGGTCTGATGCTGGTTTGTGTGTTAAACTTCACCGCGGTAGCTCTATACCCTAGCATCTAGTCGCACAAACGAGCTATTAAATAAACACATACATGCCAATATAACCTCGTGCCACCGCAGATCTTTCGCCCACTTCAACAGTTGTTTCTTGCTGTGGTTGTTCCACCTGATGACGATTGCTTGTGTTGCGATCGAAACGTCGTGATCTATTATTTTTCTACCTACGTGACTTCACCGAAAGAACCATAAGAACATCCATACCTGTCAACCCCTTAGCAGTGCCTCCGATCTTATCACAGACCAATTCAGACCGTATTGGCCACCCCGTGCCCCCTTATAAACCTCAACGTTCATCCTACAGTCCCATCGCAAGGGAGAAAAAAACAAATAGACAACAATTTTATTTTGCCCGCATTGAAACGACTGTACGCCGTATGGACATGATAACCCAATTTCCCTGTACATAGGATGGATTTTTTAATTTATATTTTTACAATAATGTCTAATAGTGTATTGTATTACATTGTTGTGTTTTAGCTTTTTTACCTTTTCTTGTATCATTGTATGTAATGGCAGAGATTAGGGATTAATAAAGTACAACCATAACCACAATCATATAAACAGAAATCAATTTTATAGCAATATATTGGGGCGGGGGGGGGGGGCATTTTGAGCATTTTTGAATATTGGGGAGGGATAGGGATGTGTCCCCCTCCCTCCCCAATATATTATTACAATTACGGCCTTGCTACAAACACATTCGCCCTGTGGCCAACCCAACTCGGAATGCGACCGATCCGGCCATCATCTCGCAGAGTTGAGTCCGGAGAGTGGGTGGCGATGGGCGAACCGGTCTCACAGACAGCCCGAGGGGGGGGGGGGGGGCAGTTAAAGAGAAATCCAGAGTGCGACGATTTCACGCACACCCCCCCCCCCCCCACCATCGCCAACTTTCACCAATCCGCATTGACCGGCGTGGTGAAGTATGGCCTCAAATCAACCATACGACGACTGCGCTAGGCTCGCAGTGCATTGCTTGCTACACGCGTGCATATCTATAGATAGACATAGAGACGCGTTCACATCAACATCGTCGCACAACTTGCACGCCGACAAAGTTGCGTTCGTTAACACGGCGCGCGCGCGCCCTTCCCTTGTGGCCCTTTAAACGGATGGCAAACAAAGATAACAATCCCCCGTGTAGCCCTAACAGACTGTAGGGGCAAGTGCTGTTAGCGAGCACCTATGAAGGCCGCAACGGTACACGAGGGGGTGTGGGTGGCCAGCACCACGCCCGGCCGCCTTTGTCTCCCCAGTGGCGATGTTTACACACCGCCCAAGGACATTATTTGAGGCTGAGTCGACCTAGGAGAGGCCCAGGACCGGTTCAGATAATCGTCACTGGTGTTGGCCGTGAGCGGGAATCGAACCCGTGTCGCCGGGTTCATAGCGCAGCGCGCTAACCCTTACACCACTGCACACCAAGGCCGTAGCTATGGAGTCAACATTGGGGGGGGGGACCAAATATTCCAGGGGGTGTGGGGGCCCCCCCAGAAAAAAAATATAAATTTGAAAACGTATTTCCTGCCATTTTCCTGCCTAAAATATTAAAAAATTCACTAACACATGGGATGGACTTTTTATTTATTTTTTACAATAATGTCTAATAGTGTATACAATATATTGTATTACATTGCTCTGTTTTTTTCTTTTTCACCTTTTCTTGTTTCATTGTATGTAATGGCCGAGACTAGGGATTAATAAAGCACAACCATAACCACAATCATATAAACAGAAATCTATTTTATAGCAAAATATTTGGGGGGTGGGGGGACATTTTGAGCATTTTGAGCATATTTGAATATTGGGGGGGGGGGGGGGGGGAGATGTGTGTCACCCCCTCCAATATATATTATAACTACGGCCTTGCCGCACACACAGACACCTCGCCATCGCTTCCTTCCCGCCAGCAGCGCAGCATCGATCGTTCTTCGTTTCTCTCTTGAGACTGATGGCCTTAATCTAAGTTGTCTTGTGGTTGTTGTTGTGGTTTGACTTGCATGCCACTGGGATGTTTGCACAAAGCGTTGGTGTACGGTGCCTTTTTTCTGCAATATTTTTCTGTATTTTCTTGGATTTTCTGTTTGCACATAGTCACATTAACATGTTTTCTTGTTCATGTTTTTGTTTGTTTGTTGCGATTGCACCCGATTCAAGAGCCGAATGGCTCACAGGGCTATACCAAATACATGAAACTGAAACTCTCCATGCCCCCCCCGAACCCCCCACCCTCCGGCTCCCCCCACCCCCTGCCCCCCCTTGTGCCCACAGAGCTTCCTCTGGAGGAGGTATTGGTTCCAGCTGAAGGGCGGCAAACTCTGTTACTTCAAAAGCCGCGACTGCACCACCGTAAGTGGCCTTGCAAGCTTTGTTTATAATAATTATAATAATTATTACGCTGTGACACGAATTTTTGGTTCATGGGTAGTAAGTGTTATTTTCTAATTACTTATTCCTCTAAAGTATAGACAATGGCTATTATTATTATGGCTATTATTATTATGGCTATTATTATTATTCCCCACAAACTTTGCTTTTGTGACCAGGACTTTACGTGAAGGAATTACACAAATGCACACCGCGTTTTCTCATTGAAAATAGGTACATTTCAAAAATCACTGCCCTGGTCACAAATGCAAAGTTTGTGGGGAATAAGAGCCATTTTATGTACTTTTGAGGCATGAGCAATTAAAAAATAACACTTACTACATTAAGTGTATAACCACATTAAATGCCATATTTGTTGTTGTTGTTAGTGCCGGAATAAGCGAGCGCGGGGCCTGTAGCATATGTTACAAAGGGCCCCTTTGTAACTATAAAAAAAACACAAATATGAAAACACGAAATTTTAACTTGCATAGTAAAGTAATTGCATTTTTTTCATTTGCTACACAGCCAGATAAAATCGCTAAACTTAAAACACCCAGCCGTTCGTAAAAGTTGAAGGCGGTATAGTACTATAGTAATTGAACAAGTGCAGAATCACTGAACCGGAATTGATAGCTTGAAAGCATTTAGCGCGGGGCCCTTTAAAGTGCGGAGGCCCGTAGCATACGTAGTAGCTACACATATGCAGTAGCTACTACTTATGCTACGAGGATAATCCGGCACTGGTTGCGTTCAGTCATTGTTGACTGGGCAGATACAATCAACTCACTCCCCCCCCCATTGAGAACCCCGTTTAATCACACCTCTTCCGAGACGTCCGGTTAGCGTGGAAGAGTAGGCCAAATACCCTCTTAGAGTATCTCTCTCCAGTGAAGCCCCTTCCGCCAGCAGCGGCGAGAGCGAGCAATTTGCGGGCCTGCTCCTTTGGCTATTCGTGTGTCGTTTCCGGCCTTCTTCAGAGGTGCCCGATAACAGCACTTGCCCCAGCAGTCTGTTTAGCCTTTACGGGGGATCTTTGTCTTTGGTTTGTTGTGGGTGAGGGTACCTGGCGAGGGCCGGTGTCGCGACTCGCATCGCCTGCCCACGAGGAGTAGAATAAGCAACTTTACCTGGCTGGGATGCATATACTGTGGGAGCATGTTATTTTTAGTTGTGTTTGCATGTTATCCACAAGTACGCGTGGTTAATGCAGACACGATTCCTTGCGAAAGGTTTCTGTTTGGTGTTTTAACGTCTCAGCACCGCCTGTTTTATTTGCCAGCGAGGGTAAAACCAATGATTGTATTGTCATTCTCCTTCCCGTGTCTCCCTTGCCATGTGTTTCAGCCTCACGGCGTCATAAACGTGAACAAGGTGAGTACTGGGTCACGCGTGCTGTGGGTCACGTGTACTGTGTGACGTGTACTGTCAGGTGTGCTGTCACGCGTCCTGTGGGTTACGTGTATTGTCAGGCGTACTGTGGTTCACGCGTACTGTATCACGTGTACTGTCACGCATACTGCGGGTCACGTGTACTGTCACGCGTACTGTAGGTCACGTGTACTGTCACGCGCACTGTGGGTCACGTGTACTTTCACGCACACTGTGGGTCACGTGTTCTGTCACGCGCACTGTGGGTCACGTGTTCTGTCACGCGTACTGTGGGTCACGTGTACTGTCACGCATACTGTGGGTCAAGTGTACTGTGGGTCAAACACACCCTCAAAACCCACCGATCTGCGAGGCCGCCAGGTGACAGCACAGCAAGTGGGTTCCAGAACCCACCCCCGTGCCGGACCATAATGCAAAACACTCGGTTATGGAATTGGCCAAACATCTCAGGGCAGGACCCTCCTGAAAGTCTCCAGACTCAAGTCTCGCGCCACGGTGGCTAGGAGATGTTAACTACCTCGCCGGGTATACAGGAGGTCGTGGGTTCGATAACCGACCCCGATGCCTGCTGCTGTATATTTGTAGTTTGCGTGTATTTCTCTCTCTCCGTGGTCGCGTGGATTTGTCTCTGGGTCCTCCGGGTTTTCCCCACATTTAGAATCGATGTGCGTTTAGAGTATTTGGCTGTTATACACTTCCACGTGAAAAGCCACTTCGTTGGGATATCATCGTGGCCAGGTCGCTTCTGACAAAGAGCTACACCGCTCAGCGGGCCTTACCTGGTAACGTAAAAATAGTTGAGTCAGTAAATAATTAAGTGACGTTTTCTTGAATCAGGGTCATTGTTAGTATCTCCTTCACGGCATGACATTGAATATGTGATCATACACATGCCCTCCCTGTAATGCAATAACATCCATCGGCCAAATCTCCCCTGGTCTTCTTGCATGAAAAAAAAAGATAATTACCCTCAGACAATACACGTCCCGCTGCTTTAAACGACCGACAACATAGTCCGGCATTAACGTGTTACGCGATGCGATATTTTTCTTTCAGATAAAAACCATCGGAGAGGCGATTTCAACGGGAAAAAACTTTTCGTTTGTGCTCTTTGCGGAAAAGCCGGTCATCTTGGTGAATACCGCAACACCGCACTTCACATCGGTTTATCGTGTGGCCAACGTAAAGGCGCAACCCTGCAATTTCTTGCCAACGTCACTGCTGGCAAAACGGATTCCACTTTCAGGGAGCACCAGACAAGACAATGCAATGCATTGTTCAACTCCTTTGGGCAATCAGCACATGCTGAGCGCATTTGCCTTTAAATCTCACTGCGTTTTCAGTTTCGCAGGAAAATTCATAAAAGCAGCAGATCTGACCTTCGATCAATGAATCGATCGTTATTAAATCCTTTATATTAAATTCACTTGCTTGCGCGCTTACGACCGTGCAAATCTTTCGGTCGTTTTTTAACCCACTTCTGGTGATCCAATCGAGCTGACATTTTGCACACAGACTCGTTGTGCGTGACAATTTCTTTTCGTGACATTTTTTTTCCAAAATTTTACACATTTTAGGTAAAAAAAGAATTATATTTAATTACCAATTTCTTAATGGTGGCAGGCAATCATCTGACCCATAGGTGGCAGCCATCTCAAGCCAGAGGACGAGAGGACTCTAGCCGCCCGTTTCAAAGACCAATGTGGGCTGGGTTGTGGCCCATTGAACACGCATATAAAGGATTTATAGTGAAAAACTTTTTTACAGGTTAATTTTTTTTACATGCCTATATCACCCTCAATAAAGTAGGCATCGGTGAAATATTTCAAGCGAACGGAAACGCACACAGGACACACGAACTTGCACTTCGAGTATGTACGTTGAACTTCTTTCGCGCCGCACGGAGCCAACCGTGCCAATCAAAAGTGGCAGCCGAATGAGCATAATGATCGTAATGGATCTGTCGCTTCGTGCCCCAGAATGTCATTCGCCTTAGCCACCGTGCCAGCTGTCAACGTGATGTGGCTGCGTGCGCGTGCACACAAACAGGCTGCAGGCTCCAGCGAGGAGTGCGAGTGGTGGATAGAGACGCTGCTGTCCAAATCATCGAGTGCCCGCCGCTCCTCCTCCCAGTGGAACTCCGTCTGGTAACCTACACACTTTAGAGGACGATGAAAACAGAAGAGGTTTTACCCTCTCCGGCACGAAAGCAGGCGTTAAGATTTCGATTTAAAGCTTTCGTGACTGCAGGGATTCATCTTCTTGGTTCTTTCGGTAAAGTCACGTAGAAGGGAAATAATAAAACAGGTCTGTCTTTCCGACAGACCTGTTCTTCACCTGAGGACGGATGCTTGCGTTGTGGCCGAAACGTCGTGAGAATTATTTTATTATGTTTTATTTTTATTATTTCCCCTCTACGCGACTTTACCGAAAAAACCAAGAGGCGTTAAGATGTTCAAACAAATAAGATACCTTTTGGAAGGCATCGTCTATATGAGCAAAACGTGCCGACACATGCATTGCCTTTGAAACCGATTGGCCTACACAGCCTTCTTTATAAACTTGTGTCACCAGTGTTAGACCAGAGAACGCCAACAGGCGAACAGTCCAACAGACAATGCAGGTATCAGCACACGTATAGCTCAGGTCGAGCGGTTATATCTACGGGGTACCTTTTCACCATCATCCAAAACGATGAAATGCAAAACAGGTCCCATTGAAGCAATCAGGATGTGTACCGGATTTGGGATTCCATAAACTTTCCGAGTTTAACTCGTGTCGCATTTTTTTCATTTAAAGCTTCCGTGACTGCAGGGATTTATATTCTTGGTTCTTTCGGTAAAGTCACGTAGAAGGGTAATAATAAAATAATAAAAATATAAAACATTATCCAATAGGCACTGTGCTAAGGGCCTGCATAAAAAATTTAACCAAGATATCTTCTTGAATAAATATATTTAAACTTGATTTGGAGCGTTCGTGACTGCAGGAATTACTCTTTGGTTCTTTCGGTAAAGTCGCGTAGAATTTTTTTTTTAAATAGCATACGACGTTTCGATTGCAACACAAGCAATCATCATCAGGTACGAATGAAAAAGAAAGCAAACCTAGTAAACTTTGAAATACAATGCAATACAACAGTCGACTAACATAATCAACACCCTACCTGGTTGATTACGTTCATATATTTATATAGCAAGGATAGGCACAGTGTATATATGTAAAGGGGCATGTCAATCTCAATCGGTTTTCTTTTCAATAAGATAAGTTAAGACCGGAGATGAACTTTAAGATTTTTTCCATGACAAAATTTAGTAACATCTTCAAATGGTGCTTTTCGTACAATCTCATTCTTAAAATAAGAGAATGGCGCAGGTGCAGACGAGCGTTGTTGTCCTCTGGTTGTTCGTGGACAGTTAATTTTAAAATCGGCAGTTCTCAACTGCAGAACGTTATCACTGAAGGCCCACCAAAGAGAAGGGCCGACGGCCTTCAAGAACCTTAATCCGGCCTTGCAGCGTCGGGATCCAGAGCCAACGACCTCTGGCTTGCAAGTCTTTGCGCTAACCGTCGCACCGTTGCACCGCCCCGGATTGTGAACGGCGGTGGCGTTGCCGGGCGGTGAATTCCAGGTACACAGATGCGCCACCCGTGGACAGACTGACTGGCGCGTTCACGTCGACGGAGAACGGCGCGACAACCAATCGCAACTGGACCCGCACGGAGGCTCGCGACTGGAACTCCGTGAGTCAACGTTCATTTACGACATTAAGGTCAAACGGTGCAATAGCCTTTAGAGCGAAGATTCTCGTAGAAGGGAACTGCCATTTGCCATCTTCTTGGTTCTTTCGGTAAAGTCTCGTAGAAGGGAAATAATACGTGACTTTACCGAAAGAATCAAGAAGATGAATCCCTGCTGCCATTTGCCAGTCGCAGCACTTTCTTTGAGGTCCTCTTTCACCGTAGAAGTGTAATGCGGCGCTTCGATACTCGGGCGTTACTAATCGCCGCGGTCACGCTGCGTTGTTGCGACCACGTGGGGAAGCAGGAGACGGCGCCGACGCAGAGAACGCAGCCAACGCGAGAGCCGCCGCCGATCCCACAGAGGCCTCCCACCAGTAAGAAGCACTCCCACCCGCCACACTCTCCCTTGTCTGCAGACGTTCAAGATGAACCCGAATGTCATTGAGGGCGCCGAGATGTTAATTACCTCGCCTGGTATACAGGGGGGTCGTGGGTTCGAACCCGACCCTGATGCCTGTCTTGTACTCCGGGTCCTCTCCGGTTTTTCCCTCCACGTGTTTAGAATATTTGGCTGATAGAAATTTCAACGTGATAAGCCATTTCTCGTTGGGCTATCATTTGTGGCCAGCTTGCTTCTGAAAACGAGCTCCGTAGTAGCTCAGTCGGCCTCACACCTGGTCAAATAAGTTTAGTTTATTTCCAGTTAAATGGGCTCAAGATGACTGAAACATTAAACGCCCAATGGAATAACACGACACCTTTCAATTGAATTTTGATTTAAAGCTTTCGTGACTGCAGGGATTCATATTCTTGGTTCTTTCAGTAAAGTCAAGTAGAAGGGAAATAATAAAATAATATTAAAACATTAAAAATTCTCACGTTTCGACAAACACAAGCAATCAAGTGTGAAATCCACAGCAAGAAATTTTGAAAAAAGGTGACGATTGCTTGTGTTGCAGTCGAAACGTCGTGAGAATTTTTATTGTTTAATATTGTGATTATTTTATTATTTCTCTTCCACGTCACTTTACCGAAAAAACCAAGAATACCTTTTTCAATTGGTTTCTGAAAATCACGGAGGACGGCGCAGTGCTGTATGTCGAATTTCTTGCGCACCGTACGTAGCCAACCGTGCTACCCAGGAGGCGGTGTCATGGTTAGCGCACTGCAGTTGCAATGCATAGGTCGCTGGTTGGATTCAATCTCCTGGCACCTGAAACAATCGAGAAAGTTTCTCACCATCCCTACCACCCCCCTCCCCCGGCCACTGTACACCCGGCAATATATAAATTGGTACACCGGTTGGTTGATCGGCAGTGTCTCGTGTGGTGGGGTAAAGAGTGGGCAACTCCCACTTGTTCTAAGGTGTCTGGCCAGTGTGAAGGAGTAGGCCAAAACACCCTCCAAGGGGACTCTGGAGATCTCCCGTCGAGTGGAGGGCCCCTTCTGCCATCCAGCAGTAGCGTCAGCAAGCTCTTGCAGGGCCTGACAAGTTGATCCTTCACACCTCGACCTTGTTTGTGATTTGAGTTTTTTGTTATTTGTGATCGCCCCCCACAGCCAGAAAGCCATCGCTCAAAACTCCTCCGCTGCCGCCTAAATTGGGAAAATATTCAACGCCCGGGAGCCAGGGCTGCGCTAGTCCTGCCAGCCCCACCCTCGAGAAACTGACAATCGAAGATTCCGACGACGACGACGTTTTTGAGGAAGAAATCTACGACACTCCGCGCCCATACCCGGAGACGCTACAGGACAAGGCTTGCCCAGTCAAGACCTCGTCGAGTTAAAATTTGACCAAGACGCAGCTTGCACTCGGAGGAAATGTTCATCGTCGCGTTCATTGTGATTACAAAGTGGAATCGTCGCAACCAAATTGTCAGTTAGAATCATGATCAGAGGGTCACCTCAGCCCTTCATCCGACCGTGATTGATAAACCGAGTGGCCCACTTTGTAAGCAACAGACAAGAGGTTGTTCAGCTAACTTGCGCTTGCCATTGGAATGTGGAATTTCCACAATTAAACATATATTTGTTCTGTGGTAACAATAGTACAAGTATACACAGAGGTCAGTTGTATATAGGCCAAAACTAATGTATATATACGAGCACATCGCTTGTTAATAAACGAATGCCACTTTCACTGGTAACACTTTACTACATGCACTGTATACCTTAACAGTGGATTGCACCGAGAAATAAAATGGGGCAGCTCCAGTCGGCAGGTTTCCTGGCCTCGTTCTTTATTTTACAATCGCAAAAGTTTGACGACGGGAGACGCTCCAACAAAGGCACAGGCTCGCGAGGGGTGAGCAAGGAGGCCATGATGTTGCATAAAATCCAAACCTCCCTCCGGTAAATGTGTCCTATGCGGATGGTACAAAATAGTCTCGGTGTTCACTCCAATAAGAACACCGCTCTTTTGCGATCACCTGCGAAAAAAAATTAAAATCTAAACGTTAACACAAAAAAAATGACCGCACAGAAACAACAAAAAAACCACACAAGCGGACAAACAAGTGCATCAAGAGGGGCCTCCATTGGGTAATCAATTCGACTGTACAAATATGCACATTGCCAATGCATACACACACGCACACTTTAGGCGCCTTTACTTAAACCCCCCACGCATCCTAGCACGCACTGCAAGCATAATGTTGTGTGTGTATATATACGCATATTTATTGAGATAAACATTCTTTTGCGTAAGGATTTTGTTGCCAACTTTGCACAAGAAACGATGCAGATGCGGGCAACGGTATTTGTCAGCTGCCGTGGCGAGTGACATCGGCCAATTTATTTTGGGGTTTTGTATTTTTTATAGAAACAATGTGAAGTGTGTCCTTGGATGGACACGGAATTTCATGGGCACAGCAATACCTACCCACATGTGAATACAAAGGAATGGGTTGGGGTCCTCGGATGCACACCATTTAACGAGTCGCAGAACGAGATGACGTCAATAAGGGCATGTGTAATGTGCCGGGTAAACTGGTTTACCAATTATCGCTGGCTTTTACGGGCAAGTTCTTGGATGACTCTTAAATGATTCTAGATTAGAAGCTCTCGTGACTGCAAGGATTCATACTCTTCTGTTTTTTCGGTAAAGTCACGTAAGTAAAAAATAATAATAAAAATAAATCACCACGTTTAGGAGGCAACACAAGTCTCCGTCTTCAGGTGGGACCGTCACAGCAAAAACTTTTTAAATAATTTTTTTATAAACTTTGATTCTTGATACAGTAAATTTAGCTGTGATGGTCCCACCTGAAGACGGAGACTTGTGTTGCCTCCGAAACGTCGTGATTTATTATATTTGAATTTTTTACCTACGTGACTTTACCGAAAAAGCCTAAGAGTATGGACTCTTAAATGAATTTGCCCGATTTGTATACAGGGAATGTCCGTAATAATAGCAACGCAACTATAAAACTAAATATACTTTCTTAATGGACTACGTTTATGAGAGTTATCGTGACCGCCACCTTACAGACGGACAGGGCGGCTGCATTAGCGCTTTCACATCAACCCGAGAAAACGTAAAAACAATAAACTTTGATTCTTTAATCAAACGGGGACTGAACACAACTTGTTGGGATGGTTCCGCAAGTGTACCGGATGTATCGCTTCTCCCACTGCCACCCCTCCCCCCCAACCTGCTCAGTCTTCCAGCAAGATCGTCTCCTCCTTGACGAGGAATTCAATCGTCTCCTCCTCCCAGTCCTCCATGTTGCTGTCCAGTTGGTCTGTGTCGACCCCTACAACAGCACACAAAGACAAAGATCCCCCCCGTAAAACCTTAACAGACTGTTTGGGACAAGTGCGGTTAGCGCAACAAGAGGGTGGGTCGCCAACACCACGCCTGGGGCCGCCGCCTTTGTCTCCCCAGCGGAGATGTTTACACACCGCACCAGGTATTCATTTTAGGCTGAGTCGACCTAGGAGAGGTCCAGAACCGATTCAGATAATCTTCATTGGTGTTGGCCGCGTGCAGGAATCGAACTCGGGCCGACGGGCTCGTAACGCAGCACGCTAACCGCGCACGCACACACGAACGCCGTGCTTCACCACGACTGAAACCCGCCCGAGTCTATCTTTAGGAAGCCGTGGGGTGGCCAGTCGACCGCAACGCACGCTCACCATCTCGCAGCTCCATGCGCCGTTCCTTCTGGTCCTCGTAGGCCTTCACCACGTCCTCGCGGTACGTCCGGTAGTCTTCCAGCAGCTTCCGCCGCTTCTCAATCAGGTCCTGAGCGACGGGATCGCCAGCGACGGGCGTAGCATGAGAACGTATTCACGATGGCGTGGCTTTTACTGTTAGAGGTGCAGCCCTGCAATTGCTTTCCCATTGCCGCTGCCGGCGCAAGAGTCTTCGCCATCAGAATCTTTATTTATCCTGGAGAAATGCGATGGGCTATGAAGCTTTTTTTTCACAGATGTCCAGTAGTAGGCCAAAGACCCTCTGGAGGGTCTTTGGAAGAATAGGCCAAAGACCCTCTAGAGGGTCTTTGGCCTACTCTTCCACGTTGGAAAAGGCATTTTGATAGCGGTAAGATTACCCATGCTTCACCCCACCGCACGCGACTTGCCGATCGACAGTCGTTTAACCATCTAAACTGCTGGATTAGCACAAGGGTGGGGTGATTTAAGAAACCTGCACCATTGTGGCTTAAAGCTTTCGTGACTGCAGGAATTCATACTCTTGGGTCTTTCGGTAAAGTCACGTAGGCAGGTTCAACGAAGACGACCGCTTTTGTGTTGCGATCGAAACATCGTAGTTTTTTGTTATTTTCTTTGAACCTACCTACGTGACTTTACCGAAAGACCCAAGAATAGGGCACCATTGTTTCAACTGCCAGGGCTGCAGACCAAACCAGCCGCCTCTGAATTGCAATCCTGGTTTGCTCGCCACTGGACCCGGCTTATAATGTAACTTCATTAAACAGCAGTTGGCAACAATATAATAAAAACCGAAACAGTACGTTATGGAAATCGAACGTCAGCTGTGACGATGACTTAGCAAACGACGGGACGCTCTCCTCCTCCATCAGCCTCATTAAATCAGTTTTGTGTAGAACCTCCAGCACTCGTGTCAGGTACGAAGGTGTTTGCATCACGCGAAGACAAAGAGCGTACACGGATGGCTGTAACCAGTCCAGTGCATCGGTTGCATTCACAAGTGGCTAAACTAGGCTTCCTCCCAACGGTAGCCGCTCATCTCAGATGTCAGGGGGAAACGTTACAGGCGTGAGTGCGTATGGGCGTGCGTCGTGCGTATGTGTGCGCGCGTACCTTAGACGCCCTGTACTGCATCATGCGATCCTTCTGCTCAAACATCTTGTGGTATTTCTTGTATTCCTTTTTGACTTCCTGTAACATCGAAGGTTAAAATTAGAGGCAGGATAACGACCATCTCACAATTTTCCTTTAAGTGGCTGCAACTCAAAGAGAACCACGTAAAACAGGACGACCTTCACACAGTACCACTCATGAGCAGCAGAGGGCAGCAACGATCAATGCAGCTCCAGGAATGCGCATGTGAGAAGTCAATTGAGAAAAAAAATGTAATGGGACTACTTTTTGTTATGACCGACAATCCACGTTCATCATGACGCGCGAACGATGCCGACGACGTCGCCAAGCATACTCTCCCCCCCCATCACTTCCCATCCAGTGGCACGACGCGCAACAGCCGAGACTTATAAACTATTACTGGTAGGAACCTCCTGGTTACACCAGCCCACAGGGGATTATTGGGTCTGTCAGTCGTGCAGGGAGGGGAGGGTGGGGAGGGGCTGGGTGGGGAGGGTGGGGCTGGGTGCGGAGGGGAGGGTGGGGAGGGGTTGGGTGGGGAGGGTGGGGAGGGGCTGGGTGGGGGGTGGGAGGGGTGGGGCTTGGTGGGGATGGGCTGGGTGGGGCTGGGTGGGGGGTGGGAGGGGCTGGGTGGGGAGGGGCTGGTCACCCCGTGGTGCCCTTATAAAACTCAACGTTTAACCTACTCACGCCGGCTTGTGCCCGCCCTCACAGTCGGCCATATTTGCGGAATACACCACGCCGCCGTTGACCCTGGCCATTGACCGAGCAACCCAACGTTCCTACCAGCTCCCTCCGCAGGAATGTGTTTTCTTGGGTACCCAATAAGTCGAGTAATCAAATTGATAATTGTTAAAGCAATCAATTACTTCAATAATCGGAGATCCTAGCTCTGCACGTGAACTTGCGCCAGGCTACGTACGCGTTTTTTTTTTTTATATCGGGAGGGATTGCACGAAGCTTTAGTCTTTCTATATGTGGTCAGGGTTAAGGGGGAGAACACAGGTACACCGCAATCGGTTCTTTGGACCGGAGGTTTTGTCGGCAGAGGCCGCCACAGCAGCCGGGCTACATACATGATTTTAGTCGTGAAAAGATTTCGGGAGGGATTGCACGAAGCTTTAGTCTTTCTGGATAAACGTGGCCAGGGTAGGGGGGGGGAGGAGGGACAGGTACCGCAATCTGCTCTTTGGACAGGAGGGTGGCGGGCCGAGGCCGCCACAGCAGCTGGCAGAACCGCTCCAGGCCGTTCTTCTGCAGCAGGCGGCCTTGAAACGTCCACAGCCAGTACGCGTTGTCGACCTGCGGACACGTTCCAAGGTGGCAATGCACAGAAGGCAGAGGTCGCAACCGGGTACCCGATACCCGTACCCTACCCGATACCCGGCTACCCGTACCCTGCCGGGTATAGGTACGGGTACCCTTTTGCAACCCTGGTGCGGCCGGGTACGGGTAGACCGTGAGTCACTGGTGAGTAACCGTTTGTCACTCATTTCCCAACGTCTTGTTTCTTCTCACAATTCAAGTTCCTAGAATCAACCCACCCACGCCTGCAACATGGCTTCATCCCAGAGGTCGCAATCAGGTACCCGATACCCGTACCCTACCCGGCCGGGTACGAGTAGGATACGGGTACGGCCGGGTACGGGTAAAGAATCAAAACCCGTTTGCGACCTCTGACAGAAGGCGGTTTCAGTCAGAGAGGAAGCCGAGGGCGGGGGGGGGAAGAGAATATAGGGGCTGAACGCATCACAGGGAGAACGTGAAGGAACGAAAGACTGAGATTGCAATGAGGAGAGGATTGCGGGAAACCCAATCACGCGTAACGGGAGAATAGAGGGAAGAAGCAGGGAAAATTATCTCGATCTGCGCTTTAAACGCCGGTATCGTTTTTCATCATGAGTTAGCTTTCTGTCAGTTGGGGAGGCCTTTAAATTAAACCTCGAGATTTGTTTCTATTGTACATATTTTTTAGACTTTGATAAATACATAAAAACACAAGGTGAAAAAAATAAATCGCCATATTTTCGTCTATTTGTTGTGTAATACTGACACAGATGCTACAGTCGTGTAATAGTTAGCACACTGGACTTCAAATCCGGAGGTCGCCAGCTTAATCTCCCGGTGCGGGAGTAAAATGGTCACGTTTTGTAATGTCCCTGCCGTTGTTCAGGCAACAATATGAATAGATACACCGCAGTTATTCGATTGTCAAGTCTTGTTTGGTGGAATATCAAGTGTGGTTACTCCCGCCTCTTCCAAGATGTCTAGCCGGCGTGGAAGAGTAGGCCAAAACTTCCTGTGGAGGGGCTCTCGAAGGCACCCTAACCCTCCGTGCAGCGGAGGCCCTTTCGCCAGTGGCGGCATGAGCAATACACATTGCAGGGTAAGCACCTTTAACTCTTTACAGACATCGCCACATAGCTACGGGTTACACTAAAACCATGGCCCGGGACTCCTGCAGGAGTTACGCACGACGTTATTGCTGCTTAACACGTAGGCTTTCGCGACCAATATTATTCATAATCAACGTTTTTGGGTTTAGATCGCGTTATTTATAAATGTGTCGTAACCCTCCACCACCCGACACGGCCAATCAGTAAAAAAGTGTCACTTTGACAAAAGACAAATAGTTCACTGCTTTAGCCCACCGGTGTGTTGAAGCGTGAAACCACAACATTTACAATTTGAGTACGACGTTTCGCTGCTAATTGCATCCAGCATCATCGGGCAATTCGCCAGAATGGTGAGGCTCTCCTCTGGCTCCCGTTCTTATATAGAGCAGCAGCAGCAGGGTGACGTCATCATTAATTGCAGCTGCTGCTGCTGCTGGTCAATGGGAGGGGAGTGCGGGCCGCACACCTTGTGGCTCCACCACGACACGGAGGTGATGATGTAACGCCCCGACGGGTCCCACTCCACGTCGGAAGCCATGAAGTGCTCCGCCACGTTCATCACCGTGCAGTCCGACGAGTCTACGAAGGCCAGCGCGCCGTTCATGCTGCGCCCCCACACACACACACACGTCACAAAACGGCACCTCCGATTGGCACGGTTGGCTACGTACGGCGCGCGAAAGACGTTCGACATACGTACATACACACGCGCTACACTGGGGCATGAGTTTCCCCATTGAATTTTTTTGGTGAACTTTACACGTTCATTTATTTTTTGAGAAAATTTTGGACTTCATGTTCGTATATTTTTGGGTTTGTTTTTAATTGTAATAACTTAAATTTGTAAATGCACCTTATTGATCAGCTCCATTTTTATTATGAATAGTTTTTTTTTATATTAACAGTTTCCACAATATAAAAATTGCTTTAAGCAAAACGCCATCACGTAATTGCACTTTAACAATTGATCCTAAACAAAAACATGATTTCAGGTCATCTTACATTTCTTAATTAGGTCCGAATATTGCATTTTTGTGATAAATCCAAAAATCAGGAGCAGTGAATACCGCGTAAAAGCAGTGCTACCAGGTAGCCACCGAATTTGTTCTCAAAGAGCTTGGCAAACGGTACTCAAGTGAAACCCAACGAGCCATGGCCAGACACAACAACACCCTCTCACCTGCGCAGCCCAGCAAGAACCACAAACTGGCCTTGGGGGCTCCAGTAAATGCTGTTGGCCTGTTGCTTGTCCAGCGTCTCTGTGGGCAGCACACGGCAAAATCACAATTGGGGGCTTTGCTCATGCTGCACATTTTCCCCTTGGTGCACACCGACCACAGTTTTTTGTAAAAAAATCATCCAGATCGAGGTGGGACCACTCGAAACACATGGGGAGATTTGTACAGCATGACCGCAGAAGCCTTACACAGTGTATTTCTTTTAATGTTCCCTTCACCATAATCAAAATGTTTAGGTCACGTAATTTTGGCTCGGTGGTTCACGTGCCAACCACTTTGTTTAGTTCTGGTGGGCAAGCTGGCGATACTCACTGACGAGGTCGATCTTTCCGTTGTTCTTCACGTTGTAGAAGGAGACGCAGATGCGAGGGCTCTCTCCGTGCAGTACGGCAAACTTGCTGCCATTCGGCTCCCACGCAAACGCTCCGATCACCTCTGCTCAGACCCGGTGCCGCAACGGGAAAAAGGGATACACACACACAGATGTCAATATCAACTCAGACCACACATCATTTGCCTGGTTAGGTTTTACATGATATCACTTTGACAGACACTTTTTGTTTAGTTGTTGCAGTAATTCCGTCCCCAATTTGATCCTTGAGTATGTCCCCTCATTTTGATATATTTTTTTATACATGTCTTGATTTTATAAATAGGACTACCTTCGTTTAATATACACTGTAAAATATTGTGATGCCCTCTTTAGTGGGGGCGAATTTTGACTCGAAAAATTCTTTGAATGAATGACTATAGGCATTAAGAGATAAAAAAACCCATTAGAATCTCTCGCACAGCAATGCCACCCTTCATACTGAAGAATGACCTACAGAAGCAAGATACCGGAGAGCTCGCTCTGTCTGAGACCCCGTCAAGTGACCTATGGTCCACAGACACCGAAGAGTAGCAATTTCCACTCGTTCTTGTATGAGAGCGAGGCCAATTGAATGACAGTAAAAACCGGTATAATTAATCCAAATTAAGTGCAGAACCAATGTTTTTTGTGCAGTTTAACACGTAGGCTTTCGCGACCAATATTAATCATAATTAACGTTTTAGGGTGAGATCGCGTTATTTATTAATGTGTCGTAAACCTCCACCACCCGACACGGCCAATCAGCAAAAAAGTGTCACGTTGACAAAGGACAAATAGTTCACTACTTAAGCTCATCGGTGTGTTGAAGAGTGAAACCACAACATTTACAATTTTTGATTACGACGTTTCGCTGGTAATTGCATCCAGCATCATCGGGCAATTCACCATTCTGGCAATAACGTGATCTCACCATTCTGGCGAAATGCCCGATGATGCTGGATGCAATTACCAGCGAAATGTCGTACTAAAAAAAAATTGTAAATGTTGCGGTTTCACTCTTCAACACACCAGTGTGCTAAAGTAGTGAACGATTTGTCTTTTGTCAACGTGACACTTTTTGCTGATTGGCCGTGTCGGGTGGTGGAGGGTTACGACACAACATTTATAAATAACGCGATCTCACCCTAAAACGTTTATTATGAGTTTCTTGTGCAGTCAGTGGATGGCTGATATCATCGACTCGCCAAATCATTCTATTCACAGGTGGCTGCCTGAACTGGAACGTAGGACCCTCAGCGATGCCAAAGCGGCACTCCGACCTCTCAGCCACACGGCTAACTCCATGGACGATGCTCTGAGCAGTCGCCTACAAATGCCATCATCGGGACCGTACCTTTGAGTTCCACTACGTCCACGGGAACCTGTTTTTCCCGCATGCGGAAAATCTCAAAGTTCGTCACAGCGCCCTGCAATCAAAATTCATACCAGAGCACCTTAGTCTCAATGCGCGTTGTCAATAAATTTACCTTTTAATAACAATGCCCTTGTATTTATCCAGCGCTATCAAAGTGCTTAGCCTGTGCCCGTGCAACATTGGGTGCTCGCGAATGTTGCCGTTGAACATTAAATTACGGTACGGTAAACTTGAGTAACCCAGCAAGGGTTCGTGGACCACGCGAATGTGTGAAACTTCCACACCTACTGGAGTGACGTGGCCAGGGAATGAAAATACAAAAACAGGGTTTACGAACCCACGTGTGTGAACTGTTGTATCCTCTCATAGATGTAGGTTTTCTCTGGGCGTTACAATGTCTCCGCACATGCTAAACAGCGCCTTAATAAAAACAAATCAGCCAAACATCTCGACCAAGAACCTTCCTAAAAAAGGAATCCCGAGACTCAAATGAGGCTCTCCTGGATCTTATGATACGGCCGCAGCGCAGCGTTTAGCGCACACACTTTGCTATGAACCCAACAACAGTTTGAATGGCAACTCCAATGAGCACGGTTGGCTATGTACTGTGCGAAAGACGTTCAACGATAAAAGCAACCATCACAGGGGACGCTTCCCGACTCGGTGTCAACAACATTCTCCGGCCACGCACATCGCACGCGCCACGTTGTCGGCGGCGACAGCTCGTACCTGCAGGCCGCGCGGCGTGCGGTCCACCTTGACGCACATGAAGTCACCGGCGCGCTGCCAGTGCAGCTTGCAGTCGACCACGTTGAAGAGGTTGCGCACGCGCATCTCCAGCCGCGACGGGATCGCCATGAGCGTGACGCGCGCGGGGATGTCCTTGTCCTCGGGGACCCAGAAAGCCAGAACGTCGTCCGCCGGCGACCACGAAAATTCCCTGCGACAAGCAGCGACGTCGACAATCACACCGTTATTTTAACGTGAAATTTGTAAAAACGATCAATTTTTGATGTGTTTCAGAGGCTTCTTAACACTATTAAACTACTATTAAAAAGAACCTATGTCTCGAGTTTCTCGGCTGGTTGCGGGCTGAGCTTCTTTCCCACGGCTACAATAACTCCATTGGTAGTGGCTGCCACCGAAACGAGCACCTCCGATTAGCACAGCTGGCTACGTACAGTGTGAAAGTTCAACAGACGTACGTAATTTTTGGTGAAACGGCGGAACAAGTTCTCAAGACGTAGATAGCGACAATGAGGAGGTGGGAGTAAGGAATACAGATGACAAGCACGGTTCATTCAGATACATTCAACATTCGCTTGGAAGTGTGTGTGCGCCGTGCGGCTAATTCACAGAAAGTTGGCAGAGTTGGGAACACGGTTGGTACATCTACCAGTCATCTCAGCCAGTGGACCCATGGCACCTGCGTCTGTTCTGTGACATCCTGCCAGCGGGCTTTTGACACTTCGCGTGGCCTCAAAGCGCACCTCGCATGGAACAAGTGACGTGGTGAAGCTTAGTGGCAAACGGCGGTTGCTGTTGCTGTGAGAAGGGAGTTATGCATCTCCATGTGCTGCGTACACAGTTTACCTTATGCCAGTGATTTTGATGCTCTTCTTGTCGAGCAACCCCATTGACTGCAGAGGCAAGAACACCGTAACATTACAAAACAATCCTTGTAAATGACACCAAATTAACATTGGCAAAAAATACGCAGGAATTGTGGGGGGGGGGGGGGGGGGTGGCGGCTTAATGCCACAAATCTCACCGGGGTTTCGTACACGCTTAGTGTATCTTGAGTCATTCTGGCAAAGAACTTCCCATCTGGATTCCACCTGCACACCCGAGACGGCACGAAGGCATTAGGGTTTTATTGACGGTGGAACGTTGCTCCCAATGAAAACGCATAACGCGCGACGCAGCTCTAAGAAATGTGAAAATAAAACATTTTAAACGTTGCGTTATTAACACAACACGTCGCGTAATATATTTGCATTTCTCAACGGCGTTAAGAATCACGGACACAATTTTAATGCCCTATTAACTCGACTTTGGATGCTGCCGTCATGGAACAGTTAACACACTCGGCCTTGCACTCCAGAGGACTCTGGTTTAATCTCCCCGTGCAGCAGTTGACACAATGAGAAAGTCTCTTGAATCCCTCCGCCTGTGCACCAAGTAGCCAGCATGGAAGATTAGGCCAACTACCCTTGAGCGAGGCTCTTTAGAGTTAGCCTGGATATAGGTCCTTCTGCCAGCAGTGGCGTGAGCAAATCGCAGGGCTGCGCCTTTGCCTTTTCACCTCTATCTAATTCTACGACATGTACCTTGTTCGGCTCCCCATCAGCCTCATTAAATCAGTTTTGTTTGTAACCTCCAGCAGTTATGTCAGGCACAAAGGTGTTTGCATCACATGGGGAGCAAGCTCGATGAAACGACACAGTTTCATTTAAAAAAAAGACAGTTTCAGTTTCCAATAAATCTTGAACACCACACGTTCCGATAATTAGATGTAACATTTTTCTGCGTTTCACTTCCACGGTCTGGGCACACGCCGGCAGAAGGAGCGGTGCACCCGCACTCACTTGAAGATGGGCCAGTGGGTGGAGCTCTCGCAGTGGAACCCTCGCCGCTTGTTGCCCGTGAGCACGTCCCACACGATGATGGCCTGCGGGTCCTCGCGCGTGTCTATCACGGGGCTGAACGACACCATGTACCTGGCACAACGAACACACAAATATACTCTTAGTTCTTTCGGTAAAGTTACGTAAGTAAAAAAATGAAATTCAAATTCATAAAAATAAAAACAATAAAATCACGACGTTTCGGAGGCAACACAAGCTTCCATCTTCAGGTGAAACTGTCACAGCAAAATATCTGTACAAACAAATACACGTGTGACGCGTGCTCAGCGCAACGCATGCCACGTGCGCGAGGGGGCTTTATTGGCATAACACGTGTAACAAGGCATGCTCGGCACAACACGTGCCACGATCGTAAGGCATGCCGAGCACTGGCCCTTAAGTCGCGCTCGCTAATAGCACCCACTCCAACAGCCCATAGGGCTTAACGGGGTGTGGGGGGGGGGGCATTGTCTTTGTGCTTGTGTGTGTCTTACCTGTGAGCGCTGCGCTACAAAACCGATGGCTCGAGTTCGATTCTCACTCACAGCCAACACCTGTGACAATTATCTGAACCGGTCCTGGGCCTCCCCTAGGTTGACTCGGCCTCAAATAAGTAGCTGGTGTGGTGGGACAACATCGCTGCGAGGGAGACAAAAGCGGCCGGGGGTGGGTGCTGGCCGGCCACCCCCTCGTGTGCCGTGTCGGCCTTCATAGGTGTTACTCGCGAACAGCACTTGCCCCAAAAAGTCTGTTAAAGCTATAAGGGGGGTGGGAGGGGGTTCTTCGCCTTTGTGGACGCGTGCTCACCGCTCGCACGGAGAGAAGTCAATGAGCTGCACGCCCTGGTGCGAGAAACGCTGGATCTGCGTGAAGCGCTCGCCGCCCCACAGGGCGATGCCGCGCTGGTGGAACGTGGCCAGGTAGGTGCCCTTGGGGGACCAGCGCACGATTGTTTCCGTCCACCGCTGGGAAAAAAGACACGGGTGCACGGGCCACCCTGCCCGTCAGCTGCTGGGCAGCGCAACAGCAACAGAGGCTCACAACACAGGTCGAACAAATTGTCTCATTCCATCCCTGGGACGCTGCCGCCGTGTAACGTTCGCACAACGGCCTTGCAAATCGAGTGTTCACCAGTTTGATCTTCCGGGGCGGCAATGACAAAGTATCGTAAAATCCTCCCCAAACCTCCCCCACCCCCGCCTGTCCACCCACAGCTGGGCAATCGGCAGTGTCAGGCGCTGCGAGGATAATGGTTAAGCCCACATATTCCAAACGACTGGCCAGCAGGAAGAGAAGACCAAATAGACTCTAGAGGCTCTTCATAACTACCTCTCATGGAGGGCCTTCTGCCACCAGTGGCGTGATCAAGCAATATCAGGTCTGTACCTTTTCTTTTTAAATTCAACATTATTCCATCTCTTCCTCGTTTTGCTCCCCATCAGCCTCATTAAATCAGTTTTGTTTGTAACCTCCATTAGTTATGTCAGGCACAAAGGTGTTTGCATCACATGGGGAGCGAGCTTGCAAAAAATTACACTTTAGCAGATTCTCCTAAAATATACAGCGACCTTACATTATAACTGGTGCTTTGGTGCTCAGTAACTATAGCATTGCTGCACAGGCATGCATGGAGAGAACGCATGCTTTGAATATTACCAAGACAGGAGAACATGTATCGGGGAACAGAATTCAAAAACGTCATTAACTGTTAAGAAAAGTGGATTAGGGCAGGGCACGTTGCTTAACATAAATGGTCGGTGGTCAAACCTGACACTGGAGAGGCTGCCAAAGGAGTATAACTGCCAGAGAACAACCATCAAGGGTTATTGCAGCAAGATACTGAGAGATTGGCGGCTTGAATCAAGCAGTGGATAGATCATGGTTGATGACGATCATGAAACGTAGGGCACTTTAAGAGCCAATATAAATGTCTCACGTGCCTCTGACGGCAGCGTTCCAGGTAAAAGTTTACCTCCACGCCCTTAACAGATCGTACGAGATGGGAGACATCCGTAGGCTTGAACCGATCAGTGGATAATGTCACGGTTGTTGATAACGATGAATACGGTGCACCTTGAAATCCAGCGTAAACATGTCTCGTGCGTGTTCTTGACAACCAGGGTTATCCCAAGGTCCCAATTTCAACCGCGTGTCGTGACGGACGCCCGAACGAGACCTGGGCTCACCGCTCTCTCCTCGACGATCTGCGACTCCGTCACGTCGTTCAGGAAGATGGCCACCTTCTCGCCGCTGTCGTAGATGACGCTGAACTGGTCCCGGCAGTCCGGCTCCTCCAGCCAGTACCTCATGTTGCCCTGCGAGTTGCATAACAGCGGTCACTCGAGTTGCAGCACTGAACGGCACCGTGGTGATCACTCAACCGTCCCGACTCAACACCCCTCGCGCACTGGTGTTTGAATTTAGGGTTAAAACAATTTGAGACGTTAAGAGATTATTTCAGATATTTTATTCATATTTCCATATACTACACTTGAATAACCCGTTATTATTTGCAGTAAATGTAATAATTTAACTAAAGATATCATTCAATTGTAAACAAATACATCTAAAATATTTTGCATATGAAATGGCTGCCTGCAAAAGATGGACAGGCCACTGAAAATTAACTTTCAATAAAAGTAGTTTATTATTGGGTTGTAATTAATCGCAAATAAACAACACTCGGAAATGATCATATCCAGTTTCTTGGACCCTCTTTAATAACCTTGCCTCAAATAGGTTATTTAAATAGCCATTTGGCAAGAATACTACTAACACATTCCTGCGGAGGGAGCTGGTAGGAACGTTGGGTTGCTCGGTCAATGACCAGGGTCAACGGCGACGTGGTGTATTCCGCAAATATGCCCGACTGTGAGGGCGGGCACAAGCCGGCGTGAGTAGGTTAAACGTTGAGTTTTATAAGGGCACCACGGGGTGACCAGCCCCTCCCCACCCAGCCCCACCCCTTCCACCCCCCACCCAGCCCCTCCCCTCCCCACCCAGCCCCTCCCTCCCCACCCAGCCCCTCCCTGCACGACGGACACAATAATCCTCTGTGGGCTGGTGTAACCAGGAGGTTCCTAACAGTAAAATGTATTCATATTTAGTTAAGACATGGCACTCACATGGTCTTTGAATTCTTGCTTCTCAGGTGGCTCCCATTCATCAGAAATGTTCATGTACCTGTTGAGAAACACACAAAAATACCTTTATCCACATCCATGACCAGAACAAATAAAGGATATTACTTTTAAAAATGGTATTAAAATAATGTGAGTTAAGAATATGACTGAAGCCAGACAGTATTAACTGTAACGTCACGTGTAGTTATCCAAAGCTCTATTACAATCAGAAATAATATACGTTACACAGACAGACTTAGGGCTAGCCTTGGAGTAACAGAGAAAGAGAGGCACAGTTAAGGACTAGAGTTAGGCCTGTATGCTTAGTCACGGCTCAGTTCAGGCTTAGCTCTGATTTAATTGAGCCGGCTCACAGCCAACCTTAACCTAATGGTCTAAGTGAGGGGGTCAGCAACAAATATAACAGGAGCCATTTTTTCCCGAATTCAGTAAAAAAAAAAAACTCAATAATTGAAGAGCCACAATGCATGTGAATAACGTCACGGAGCCGCAGGTTGACCAACCCCTGGTCTAAGCCATGCACAACCATGCTCAGGATTTCCACATGCCAAGGCTGAGCTAAGCCATGGCCAAGCCGCTCATGCGTCTACGAAAGCAACCGTGCGGCTCGTGCCTAAACTGAGCTGTGTTGAGGCCAAACCAGAGCCGAGCCATAACTAAGAATACAGGGCCTTAGAAACTGACTTGAGGATAATAATCATTCCTTGACAACCTTTGACAAACAGTTTCAATGTGATTATACCCGAGGTCAAGGTGAAAATCCAGGTAAAATTCTGCCAGTGTGCAAGGCAAAAGCTGTGCTCACTTGTCAAAATCGGTGAAGAGGTTGACCCGGAAGGTGTGTTGCTTGTCCAGCTTGTATCCATCGGCACCCTTGACGGCCTCCTGGGCAGATGATGGCTTAGAGTACTCCAGGAAGATATACCTGAAATAAGAGCAGCACAATTGTTAAAAAATGTTTTTACTCCGATGACAAAAGAGGCGGTATTTTTACTGCAATGCATTTCAGTACACATTGCATATCTGACTTTCACGTACTTGCCCTGACCGCCTAGACCCAGTGCAGTATTAGTGCGTGGAGTCAATAACGAAAATGTCCTATACACTTTCACATATCTGAACTCTTCACATATCTGCCTATATCCGCGTCTCCAAGGGGTTAAGACATATCGACGTTGTCCTTTTTTTAGCTTTACTTTTCACAGTGTTCATGCACATATTCGCGAGAGACGCAGGGCTCACCCTTTGGTCTTGCCATCGCCCTCGGGGAAGAAGTCGCTGACGATCTCGCCGAATTTCGCAAAGATCTTCTTGATGACGTTCCTGAGCTTGTCAAGCCGCTCCGGCCCAACCTGCGGCACGTTGTCGACCACGACGACATTGTCGATGCCGTCGGCCTCCTTTGGCCGATCTCGAATTATGTCGCCCAGCAATTCTACGGGGATATGAGAATTGGGCAGGCGCTCCTCATTAGCTGTCCGACTCACAGTGTTAACCATTTCCCAAAAACATCATAGGAGCAGATGAAGACGAACTTCAGGGTTTATTGGGGCTCGATTTTGGGATTTTTCAGATTTTTAAAAACATTAGGAACACATCCCTAGCACGAGGTTGTGCAGTGGCTCTAATCTTCATTATGTACACCACGTAGTACAGCAACCAAATGACAACACAAAAGCACAGCAGTCAAATGACAACCCAAAAAACCTATATTATGTATAAACGAAAACCTGTTTGTGCATGGTGGTCAATCCATCCAAGCATTATCCAGGCTCAATCCTGCTCAGCTTCTGAGACCTCATGAGATTAATTGGATCCCAGGTGATTTGGTCATTTGCAAAATCATCATCATATTTCCCAAATTCTTAAATAGAAATGCGCTCCTGTTTTGTCACGCGTTTCTAAAAGCTACTTCCTAACCCGCAGCTAATAATATTTATTTTATTCAGAGAAAATATTATATCTGGATAGTCGTTTGAGATGGAAAATCCCATATGCAAGGGTGTGCACAGATTGACCAAACACAATTTTCCGCTACGCCCATTATTATTGAACTAGGAAATGAGAAAATTGTCACATGAATGGAGAGGCAGACAAAGCGGTGACACCCACAAGGGAGTAACCAGAGGACATCGAGCCACCAAACCGAGGAAACTTCTGGACATGACATGAATTTCTGGCTCTAATAGCGCTGCAGTGGAAGAGCTGCAGCTCCCGTTTATAACCAGGCAAACAACTCCCATTGAGACTAAATATCTTGTTGCAAGGCACGGATGGATATCCGTTCATTTCGCAGTCTCTCAGTCACCACGTTGTGCACTGTCTTTTTGTGTTCTCGTGCCAATGGTGGAATTTCGACATTTCTACGGCAGCAGCCAGTCTATGATCAGATATCGACCAAATGATAAGTGAATCAAATGAATAATTTGCACTACAACACCGGCACACAATGGCAAGCAGAACGTAAGAAAATAATCAGCATCCCTTATAGCCGGAGGATACAGCGTGGCTGCTGGTAAAAGTGGCGCATGAATGAACACGAATTACGGGCTCACGTTGGATTATGGGTAGTGCATATTTTTTTTTTACAAAAGCTAAATAAACACACACTGTAACCCCAAAAGCCCATGGGCTTTCTGAACCAATGCCTTTTGAAAAATATAATTCTCAGCACAGGGTGATGGCGTAAAATGCAAAAAAACAAATTACGTCCAATTTTGTTGTGCTGTATTACTCTGATCCCATGTGGGGTAGAGGCCCCCTCTTACTTATACGAGGCCATACCATACCGTTATGTGGAAATCAGTGAATGGTTAAAAGGCAGCTGCAAAACACTGGTTCATTCATAAATGCCGACTGGCTGGCTGACAGATGGACAAACCCGTGTCTTTTACACCTTTTCACGCAGTTAAAGAGGCCTTCGTCTGTTGTTAATTTTTTCATACAACCAAATCAGCCTGAACAAGCGCGGCCCTTCTCAGGCCACGGAAAATTGAGCAAACGTTGAGCCAAAATGACGATGGTGTGTGCCCGTAATAAATTGGTGCCAATTGTGCACAAAACAGGTTGCGATGGGGCCTGGGGGGGGTGACACAAACATTGTAAGGCTGCATTATGGCAGTGCAGAAACAATCTGTTCTGTAACATGCGCTAGCCATCTCTTGTGATTCCAGCGTTCACCAACCCCACACGGACCTGCGTGGTGGTGGTGGTGAATTTTGGTGAAATAACTTTCACAACTCACAGGGAGGGAAATGGAGCCTGGGTGCAATCACGTGCCGAGTTACCCTCCCCCCCCCCTGTACAACGCGGGGTTTCCTCCCATAGATAACTAATTCACAGTAACAAATGCAGTTAAACTAATTGATGGCTTTGGCAAACTAAATAGCCCCCCCGCCCCCCCAGGGCCAAACCTGAGTTCGATTCCCACCCTTGGCGAGTGATGTTACTGTGATTCTGAATCGGTTTTCGACTCAATTTGCCTAATTCAGGGGTCGGCAACCTACGGCTCCGGAGCCGCATGCGGCTCTTTACGGGCTGCTTCTTGACGATGAGTACAGGTACTCAGATGCATTGCGGCTCTTGAAATACTGAATTTTGTACCGAATTGGAAAGAAATGGCTCTTCTTGTTATTTTGGTTGCCGACCCCTGGCCTAATTAAAGAAAGCCAGCAACGACCCAACAGATGGTGGTGAATTTCGATTTAAAGCTTTCGTGACTGCAGGGATTCATCTTCTTGGTTCTTTCGGTAAAGTCACGTGACTTTACCGAAAGAACCAAGAAGATGGTGGTGAATCTAGATTTGAATCTAGAATCTAATCTAGATGGGGGTGAAGTATGGTCAAACTGCGTGTAAATCCGAGCAGTGAACTTGACAAAAAGGGGCATCAAGAAACGCACGCGAACACCCCCATGCGAGACCACCGCGAAATGAACAAGAGTCGTGAAACCGCGAAGCTTTCCCAGGAATTAAGGGAAAAAAATCATCTCCTGCCATTTAAACACAGTTAGTTGGTCTAGGCCCTAATTAAAAGCCTTATCAAGACAAAATGTAACTTTTTCTTTACTCACAAGATTGGGTCGTTTCTTCACAGAGCACAGCGCTCTGCGATGAAGAGCCCCTTCGCCCGAAACGTCGACCATTATCTTTTGTTTTAGACCGTGTGTTGTTGTTAGAACGCGTTATTGTTGCTAGAACGTGTTATTGTTAGAACGTTCACTTTCTTTACTGACGCGCGTGCTTGTTGCAACCACCGCCCATCGCAGCACCGCGCGCCTACACACACACATCTATATGAACATATACAGTATTTCACGAGAGACTATACGTTTTAATTGAGGCCTGGCGCGTCCAAAGGATCGTTCAACGTGGGCCCCCCCCCTGCCCGATGCACCGGCACGGAGGCCTACGGATTGCAGCACACAACACGTGGCGACGGCGGCGGCGTCTGGGCACCGCGCCCAACACACCGTGGGTCCCTCACCGCTGTCGGAAATGTCGTCCACGAAGTCCTCGGAGTCGCTGAAGTTCTCCTCGTCCTCGTCCCCGCTCCTGGCGCCCTGCGGCTCGAGGGCGTCGTTCATTTTGCCCGACGGCAGCCAGTCGTCTTCCAGGCCGTCATCCGCCATTACGCGCTCAGAGTGAGAGAGAGAAAGAGGGGGAGAGGGGCGGGGTCGTGACGTCACGCGGATGACGTCACGCGGATGACGTCACAAACGCGGCTGCTATCGACGGCCATGTTGCTAAGGGAAGAGAGATTTTTTTTGGGGTCTTTTGGGCCCATCTTCTTGGATGGAGCCAAAATAAAGTCTTTTGGGTCGTCCATAAATGACGTCACGCGATTTTAGACGATTTTTGAGCCCCCCCTCTCCCCCCTTCGTCACGCGGCGTTGCAAAAATCAGACCCCCCCCCCCTCAAATATGACGTCACAAAGCTTTGCCCCCCCCCCCCAAATAAAACATGCTTCAAATCCCTTTTAAACTGGTACAATAAAGGTGTCAGTTTTGTACCATCTTCTTGGTTCTTTCGGTAAAGTCACGTAGAAGGGAAGTAATAAAATAATAAAAACAAAACATAATAAAATAAAATCATTCTCACGACGTTTCGGCTACAACGCAAGCAGCCGTCTTCAGGTGAAGAATGAAGAATTGTTTTATTTTTATTATTTTATTATTTCCCTTCTACGTGACTTTAACGAAAGAACCAAGAAGATGAATCCCTGCAGTCACGAAAGCTTTAAATCGAAGTTTTGTACCAGTTTAAAAGGGTAAAAACCTACTACTATGCTTCAAATCGCTTTAAACTATTGTCATTGTAGTGCGTATTTAATGAGGCGCTGCACTCTGAACGTTGTAGGAGAAAACATTTATTAAAAAGTCTATTTAATTAAGTAGAACGTGTTGTCTATACTTATTTAAAATTGCTCATTTTGATGTGACGTCACATTTCTCACCCCCCCTCTCTTGTCGCACATCGTCACAAATGTCTGACCCCCCCCCCCTCTAGGTGCGTGACGTCATTTATGGACGGCCCCATTCGCATTATGCGAGCCCATTGATATTGCCCTTCATGTCCCACTGTGTTGCCGCGGAGCAATTATGGAGTATCAATTCACCGGTTACGCTAAGATGATTAAAGTGTTACATCTCACTCCCTACACGACTGCAAAAGATAACTTTTACTAAATTTCGATTTAAAGCTTTCGTGACTGCAGGGATTCATCTTCTTGGTTCTTTCGGTAAAGTCACGTAGAAGGGAAATAATAAAATAATAAAAATAAAAACATAATAAAATAATTCTCACGACGTTTCGGCCACAACGCAAGCAGCCGTCGTGAGAATTATTTTATTATGTTTTATTTTTATTATTTTATTACTTCCCTTCTACGTGACTTTACCGAAAGAACCAAGAAGATGAACTTTTAATGACTGCCACGTGTGTCATGCGGATTCATAGCGACGATCTTCAACAAAGGTTCCATCCTCTAGTGAATCGATCGCGACTTGTATAATGGATATCCGTCATAGCAATGTGGAATTTCCACCGCTCGCTTCGTGCCCGCTGCACACTCATCAGTGGGAGGGAGGTCGTCTCTTCTTCTTATGCTGCAATTCGATCAATGACCACTTAACCTTGTTCAAGTTTGAACTTCTACAAGAACAGATGTAGCTTCAGCAGTTTCCCTGCTGTGATTGTCTCACCTGATGAAGTTCGCTTGTGTTGGGATCGAAACGTCGTGATCGATTATTTTCTAGTGTTATTGACGAGTGTTTTTTAAATCCTTTATATTAAGTTCGCTTGGTTGCGTGCTTGCATGCTTGCTTGCTTGCTTACGACCGTGCAAATCTTTCGGTCGTTTTTTAACCCACTTCCCGTGATCCAATCGAGCTGACATTTTGCACACAGACTCGTTGTGCGAGACAATTAATGTTCGTGAAATTTTTTTTCCAAAATTTTACACTGTTTAGGGAAAACTAATTAAATATTTAATTACCAATTGCTTAATACTGGCAGACAATCATCTGACCCATAGGTGGCAGCCATCTCAAGCCAGAGGACGAGAAGACTCTAGCCGCCACGCATATAAAGGATTTATAGTGAAAAACTTTGTTTTTACGGGTTATACTTATTGTTAGTTAAATGTGCTCATGCGCCATTGCCAACGCGGTATCAACAAATTAAATTGTATTATCAAACTATTACATGTTATATAGTTGTACAGTAATAATACATATACTATATTTTTGCTTCTTTCGGTAAAGTCACGTAGAAGGTAAATAATAAAATGATATAAATATAAAACAATAAAATCTAGATTTTTGACCCCCCGCCTTCGTCACACGGCGTCACAAAAAGTCAGACCCCCCCCCTCCTCAAATATGACGTCACAAAGCTCTGCCACCCCCCCCCCCCCAAATAAAATATGCTTCAAATCACTTTAAACTATTGTCTTTGTAGTGCGTATTTAATGTGGCGCTGCACTCTGATGTTGTAGGAGAAAACATTTATTAAGACGTCTATTTAATTAAGTAGAAAGTGTTGTCTATATTTATTTATATTTCTATGTATTATTAATAATAAAATAATCTAACCTATAAAAATAAAATATTGCTTTATATTTCTATTATTTAAAACATATAAAACAATAAAATATTTTTTATATTTCTATTATTTTATTATTTCCCTTCTACGTGATATATGAATCCCTGCATTCGCGAAAACTTTAAATCAAAATTTAATACATCAACTGCATATGTGACCAACATGCAATTAAGTTGAGTTTGGTTGCGTGCGATCAAATGAACATCGGAGCGAGCCAATTGAGCAACTGGCGCGGTGGCCAAGTGGTAAGGCGTCGGTCTCGTAAACCGAAGATCGCGGGTTCGATCCCCGCCCGTGCCTTGCATTTTATTAAAATTAAAAGTTACCGAACCAATCGTCAATTGAAAGCTCACGCAATTACTTTCCTTTCCAATCGGAATTTAATCCGAGATAAGTCACCCACATCCGACAATGCGAGGTTTTGCAGATTTTTATGAAGAAGAAATGTTCATGTTTTATCTCGTAAACTCGCCGTTAAGAATTGAATGCGTTTACGTTTGGTTCGAATTTGATTCCAAATGCGTTTGTTTTCAGTTGAATGTGTACTCGAGCAAAGCAACAATGAACGCAAATCAATTAGCCCTAATGTTTACATTACATAACACCCAGGGGTAACCTTAAAGCAATGCGCCTATTATTGCATGATTTTGTACGAAAAAAAACACGCACGTTTTCATCTTCCGGAAGAGGTAGAAGTTGCTTCCTCGTCTCAATAAAAACACATCTACCGGGGTTGTTTTAAGCACTTCCTGCGTCTTCCAGAAGCAGAAGATACCAAGAAGTCTAAATCATTGCCAACAACTGAGCCTGTGCGGCGGGCGTCTTCCGGAAGATCCTCAAAAAAACGCGAACTTCTGCCGGGGGGAGGGGGGGGTGGCGCGCGAGGGGAGGGGGGAGGGAGGAGGGCGGCAGGGGGGGGGCGAACCCCAACGACAACAAATTCAAACGGACCAATCGGAGGTGACCACAAGCAAAAAAAAGGCCAATCACGAAGCAGCATTCAAACGAGCGCACGTCATCGTTTCAAAACGGACCAATCAGATGGCGGTGGTGGGGGGGGGGGGTGACGTCACCCACCACTTTCGCGGGCTTTTTTTCAGTACAAGAAGTTGCTTAATGGCGGAGTAAATAAGCTGAACGTCGGAGAGACAAGCAGCGAGCCAGGGACCCACGATGGAGAAGTACACGCAGATCGGCGAGGAGTTCTACGAATTGGAGAGGAGGAAGAAGACCTATGATGACCGCTGGCCCTACAAGGAGAACTGCGCGTGTACCCCGGAGCAGGTGAGAGCCCGGTTCGTGTTGCAAACGTGCTGGGTGAATGTTTCGATTTAAAGCTTTCGTTACTGCAGGGATTCATATTCACAGCAAGATGTTCTCAATATGTTCTTGCTGTGGTTTTCACACCTGATGATGATTGCTTGTGTTGCAATCGAAACGTCGTGATAATTTTTTGCTGTGGTTTTCACGCCTGATGATGAATGTGTGTTGGGTGATGTATCCACTCATCCTCCTCCACATTGTTATGTTTATGCTTCCGTCTGCATCCGGCAATAGTATGTCTCGCATTCTCCGAATGTTACATTTAATGTGCGTGTATATATGTACCCTCCGAGTGGTGGAGGGTTATAATTGGCATTCCTTTACACAGAGCTCTAATCTATGATTTGAAAAAAAAAACTGATTATGAATCCTTGCAGTCACGAAAGCTTCAAATCTAGAATTGATTATGAATCCTAATTGGTAGTGAAAGCCTGGGTATAGGATACTATTAGAATGCTACCGAGTTACCATATCTTACTGACACGGTATTAACGACGGTATCCTGAATGCAAAGGCTTTTTCCTACGCTGGTAAAGTGCGTGAAACGTAATTGTGCGTGTGTTCATTAGTTTCAATTCTTTTAAACTTGTACAATTTTAAGCGAATTTAATGAACAATATTGTTCAACCCGCTAATTCTTGAATCTATCTTTACGGAGATTTGAGTGACTCGGTGTACGTGGATTGCCATACACCGCTAATATCAGTATCATCACTTTTTATATTCTTGGTCTTTCGGTAAAGCCACATGGTTAGATCAAATAATAAAAATAAATAACAATATCACGACGTTTCGATCGCAACAATATATTATCAGCAGCTCTCCCGCGATAGTTCTCACCTGATGACGATTGATTGTGTTGCGATCGAAACGTCGTGATATTGTTTTTATTTGTTATTATATGATCTAACTACGTGGCTTTACCGAAAGACCCAAGAATATGAATTCCTGCAGTCACGAAAGCTTTAAGGCAAGACGAAACTTTTTAAAATATATAATTGGAGGAAGCTGATGAGCTATAAAGCTCTTCACAGATGCCCAGTAAGGGCACGAGGTCACAAGGTTACAACAAACAATATAAAACACGATAGGAGTGAAAATTATAGGGAAGGCAAACAAATCATTTGAAGAAATATATACGCAGATCAAACAAAACTTAAAAAAAATATTTTCAGGTAAAGTCCACTGAGATATTAGCTTACTTTTCATAAGAGACCTGGTCACAAATGATGATAGCTCAACCCAAGTGGCTTATCAAGTGAAGTGTAATATACAATGTGCCTGCAGGGTGGCGCAGTGGTAACACGTAACTGGTGTTTGAACAAACATCCCAACGCTGAACATGTACCTGCAAATGACTATTTGAATGATACGTGAGCAAAATCGATCGTCTTTAAAAAATGTTGACTCGGCGAGGCTTTCTTGGGTAAACAAGCGGTAATAATGATACTATTTAAAACTATATATCTATGTCTCGAGTTTCTTGGCTGGCTGCTACAATAACTGTTGTTGGTGGCTGCGGCCTCTTGCCACCGAAACTAGATGGGATTAAATGGCAAATTGGAATTTGCCGTGGAACAAATGAACATTGGTTTGAAAGGGAAGAATATTGGTAGATCTATAATAGCTACACCGTAGAGGTGGGAGTGACGAATACAGAGAAGATTTTCATTTAAAAGTAATCCGACTTTAAAACTTGTTCCTAATAATGTCATTCTTTCGACAGAATATTCTTGAAATCCGACGATATAAAAAAAACCTTGCGATCCAGATTATCATTAATTTTATTCCATAAAAAGCAGATTACTTTTAATGCTCAGTGCAGGATTGTGAGACGAAAAATTACAGTTGTCTCGAATGTACTGTTGCAGAGCAATGGGTTTCTCTACTAGCAAACAAAACTATTATTATGACAATCATCTAGTATCTCAATTATAAGATTATTTTGTTTAAGTTGCCTACGACTAAGTCAATCAATTGTATTGCTTCTAATCTTATGAAATTGTACCTTAAATAAATTTCAGTATATGTCACTACCTTGTTCAACCAGCACAAGAAAAACTAGACCACCACTTCCTGGGCATTAATTTATACTTGCAGCCCTTTTATTAATCCACCAGATGAGGGCCTACCTCCACACCCTGTGGATAACCGGTAATTATTTGACTATACTTCACCACCATGCTCATTGCATGTTATTGGTGAAGGGGGTGTAGACCAGCATCAGTAACGTCCTCGTGGGGCTCTTTAAGGATTGCTTCCTAATGTTATTTATTAAGGACCACCGTTTCGTATCCGCATGCATTGCGGCTCTTGAAATACGTTTTTTTTTTGCCGATTTCTAAAAAAAATGGCTCATTTTGGTTGCCGGCCTCTGGTGTAGAGCATATGAGAGGCAATGGATTTTGTTGCACCGCTTCATGCTGATGACATTTTTTAAACAAGTGAGAGCAGGCTCTTGATAATTGAGACATCTTACCAACTGCCATACTGATAGGTGTGTGCGTGCTCTGTTTATTTTTTTGTGCCCACGTACAGATGGCAATAGCCGGATTCCTCCACCAGCCATCCGATGAGGAGGTGGATGCAGTAATCTGCTTCTTCTGCTTTAAGGAGCTGGACGGCTGGGAACAGGATGACGTGCCTTTGTGAGTGGGGTTATGATAGTAATGTGTTGCCGTTCCAATCCAGCCCATGTTACTTCACATTGGAGCAAATGGCTCGCAGTTGAAAGGTTGCGAGTTAAAATAATGTTTGGAGTTTGATTTGGACCATCACCCCTCCTAGGGTCAATGATTACCAATTTGTGAAGAAGTGATCAGTGGTTGTCCTATGGCTTGACTCGTTCCATCATAGGAATGTGGAGTTTTCACTCCTGGCCAAGGGCTGTAAACAGAAGATTAACACCACCTTCATGCTCATTTGAGCAAAAAATCACCGACTTTTCTTTGTCAATCTACTGCTGCATAAAGACCACCACAAGCCGTGTTGGTGGTTGCTTGACCATACTTCAGCACGCTGATCAATGCAAATTGATGGGAGTGGGGTTCCATAACTGATTCAGGTATTGCTTTAATGACGTTAGCCATGGAAAAGGATCAAACTCTCGTTGCAGTGCATTCCCTTGTCTGCTTAGTGCTGCATATTAATACAGCAACTTCAAGATATGCCTGATAGATATAAACTATGCCTGTCCAGACACCTTTGTTCTTGATGTGATCTACTGATTATTGTAATGGTTCACAATCCAATAACATATGCATTGTGCAGGCCATTTTAAATAACACACGACACTGTCTCCTTCACCTTCCAGGATGGAACACAAGAAACATTCAAGTGATTGTGGATTCCTGACGCGCAAGAAAGAATTTGAAGATCTTACAGTCCAAGAGTTTATAATTCTGGAAACGGAGCGACAAAAGAACCTGTTGGTAAATAATGTTTCACTGTTCAGCACACAAGACGATGTTGGCAAAATACACATGACATGAAAAATTATCTCAACCCGTCAGTCCACACAGCTCGGTTCAGGTGGTGAAAAATTATCTTTGCCCATTGTAATTGTATTTTTTTAGTGGCATGTCAACAAAGCTACCCTTTCAGTTTGAGGTTTACTTCCTCTATGCAGTATATCTGTAAATACATTGTCATTTTACAAAGTAATTTTACAGCACTTGGGTTGATACACCACATATACACACAACTCGTGCTTGGTAGTGTAAATATTTAATTGCCTTGGTGCAATCCCTCTAAACATGCAGATGTCCGATGAGTGTGTGCCAGTGACCATCACTTCGGGATTTGAGTCCCAGTTCTTTGCCAGAAATCTCGGCTTATTGCATTAAATGCTTCTGTATTGCGTTCTTGAAGACCACTTGGCTTTTCATTTGATGCCTGATGCCAAAAAAACTTCGGTATAAAGGACCTGCCAACATTTCAACCAAGCAGTTGAGACTGCTATCCAATTATAATTTACAGCAGTTTGCTAACTTCATGGAAAACTTGTATTTCAGTATATTTCTAAGTTTGCATTTCAATTACTTTTCCAAAATATTAATGATTTCCGTTTTTGCATCGATTCAACAGATTAAATTCACAAATTAATATTGATAATGATTTCACATGAAATGGCATACACATGCAATAACATACACTTTTGCAATGAAAATATGATTTGCTATCTGAAACAATTTTTATCTTCGGACCACAGGTAATAAATTGTGCTTAAAGTATGTTTTTTTGCCTGAGTGTCATATTTGCTCATTTGCAAACAGAATCTCACGTGACTGCATTTCTCGCTTGACAGAAAAAGGTCATATCGACGAAGAAGACGGAGTTTCTGTACCAGGCGGATGCTGTTCGGCGGCAGCTCGAACAGCTCCACGATCTGTAGAGATTGTTGCGAGACCGAGAACCAAGTACTTAAATCGCACGAGTCGAATCGCGGATGGCGCCAAAGCTTGTAAATACGATGGGGGCAATTTTAAGGCAGTCGTCGCCTGCAATTCTCTTACGGCACCATTTTCCGTTTTGAAAATAATACATATAGAGCTGCCGAATTCTGGATAAATGGATCGCTCCTCCCCAGCATGGTAATTTGTGGTAACTTCCAAACAACCGCAAGTCGGATCTGAACACATGATTGGTTTAAGTAACTGCGACTTGTATTGTTATTTAATTCGTTAATACATATTTAATAATTATCTCTTAATGCGATTTCCACTCCAATTTTGTTGCTCACGGGAAACCCATCGCCGATGACAATTGGCCTAATATTTCCCCGGTGCGTCACAGACGAACCCATCTCTGCTTTGCAAGCGGAAGCGGACCTGATCAGTGTTGTTCATTGAATAGCTAATCTTCTTGGTTCTTTCGGTAAAGTCCCTTCTACGTGACTTTACCGAAAGAACAAAGAAGATGAATCCCTGCAGTCACGAAAGCTTTAAATCGAAAAATGAATAGCTAATGTTTTAATGTTGTGCACATACTCTTATATGTAAAGCTAGTGATATTTCAAAATGTCAGGCTAGCCTTCCAGTGAATGCCTGCCATTGTTAATCTTTGCTCCACCAGTGGTCGAATAATAACAAGCGCTGGGTGGATTTTTTTTGCAAATTTGCAGAGCTCCTTGGATGGTTGGAGTGCTTGTCGTTAACTCTTTTTTTGGTAAACTCGCTCATAGTTTAAAGTTAAATAAAGTTTCTTAAGTGCCCGCTCAAAATTGTTGAGGCTGTGATGTCGTGAGGGCTTCGTTTATTGTGGGTAATCGTGTATTTGAATAAAGTTTGAGCTCTTGAAATTACTAGAAATGGGCACTTCTATTATTTACTTTTTAAAAAATGCTATAAGTTGGTGGGGGCGGAGGGGGGGGGGATTAACCAGAGTCCACCTGATTCCGTGAATTATCTTCCCGCGCATTGGCTGCGAGTGTTGCTCACGACGGATAAAACCAGATTTATTAAAACTCACGAAGCATGCGTGGAACAATGAAGGGTTTTGTGAGCTAGAGAAAGAGACATCGTTTTTGTGTGTGTGCCCTTACGGAGCGCTTGCACGCAAATGGCCTTTCAAACATATGACTTGCACAGTCGTGCCATATTGTAAAGTAAGTGTAACCTTAAAAGACTTAATCCACATCTGTGTGATTCTTTTGGGAAACTTTTTTTTTGGTTTCAGCTTTAAAATAAGTCTTTTGAATTCTCTGAAAATGAAGCAATCTTTTAACAATGTATGTACGTTTCTTTCGCACTACGTAAACAATGAATGTGCACCAGCCCATGTCGACTTGTGCACTGTGAATGCATAGGTGTAGTGTGCTTGAATCAAAACCAGAACTGCGATAGTAAGTGAACACACGTGTTTTATTATGGCTTGCGACTTGAACAAAACATTCTAATTCTTCCAACGCATGCCGTACACCTCGGGACTGCATGCATATTGTTGGGGTGAGGGATTGCATGTCGAGTGCATGCGAGAAGGCTCGAACACGGGAGTACATTCCGGGATATGATATTGTGGCGATAGTGTCAAGTTGGGCATGAACAGACTTGGCGATTGCACAATAGTTTCGCTTCCTTAAACTGTAACCACCACCGGGAGTGATTTACAGAACTAGTACAATAACATGCCATAGCGTCGGGGTCGTTCGAGGACGCTGGTGCCAACGGTCGGCGGTCATCCGTTTTGGATTAACTTGGCCACTTGCACTCAGTCTCGTCTCCAAACGATCCATTATTATGTTGCGAGCAAAGAGACCACCCCCCCCCCCCCCCAAGATAAATGACCCACTTGGAGTACAAAAGGTCGCACGCGCGCGCACAAAACAAACTTGCTCTATATAAGAACGGGAGACACAGCAGAGCCTCACCATTCTGGCGAATTGCCCGACGATGCTGGATGCAATTACCAGCGAAACGTCGTACTCAAATTGTAAATGTTGTGGTTTCACGCTTCAACACACCGGTGGGCTAAAGCAGTGAACTATTTGTCTTTTGTCAACGTGACACTTTTTTACTGATTGGCCGTGTCGGGTGGTGGAGGGTTACGACACATTTATAAATAACGCGATCTAAACCCAAAAACGTTGATTATGAATAATATTGGTCTCAAAAGCCTACGTGTTAAATTGGATTATAGTTTCCACTGCCATGTCGGGAGATCGAGTGGTAACCGCTGGATTGCAAAGTCCAACGTGCTCGCCATTACGCCACGGCTGGGATGTACAACTCGTAGAAAATTCGAATAGTCTACAACAATTAGGAGGTCATTCACCCCAGTGTCGATGATTTGTATGGCCAATGAAGAGCAAATATTAGAGATTCAATTCACGGTGATTTTAGTTCATCTTATTGATTTAAGAGTTTGTGAATTGCAGATGCACCCACCCAGTCGCCCACTCCTTCACTCACCTTGTCACCCACTCAGCCAACCACCTTCGCATTTTGCTTATATTTGGGATGGTGTCGGGTTATGTGCTCCATGGTTTGGAGTTTGTAGCTGCAGTCGTACACAACATAGGATTTTATTTTCCACTAATGGTTAAATGCCCATCGTTTCCATGTAAGATGGAAGTCGGGCAGTGTGGCGGTGGGATCACTGGTCAGGTGTGTAGAGGAAGGTCGAAGCCTGCAGTGTGGTGGTGGGATCACTGGTCAGGTGTGTAGAGGAAGGTCGAAGCCGGCAGTGGTGGTGGTGGGATCACTGGTCAGGTGTGTAGAGGAAGGTCGAAGCCGGCAGTGTGGTGGTGGGATCACTGGTCAGGTGTGTAGAGGAAGGTCGAAGCCGGGCAGTGTGGTGGTGGGGTCACTGGTCAGGTGTGTAGAGGAAGGTCGAAGCCGGCAGTGTGGTGGTGGGGTCACTGGTCAGGTGTGTAGAGGAAGGTCGAAGCCGGGCAGTGTGGTGGTGGGATCACTGGTCAGGTGTGTAGAGAAGGTCGAAGCCGGCAGTGTGGTGGTGGGGTCACTGGTCAGGTGTGTAGAGGAAGGTCGAAGCCGGCAGTGTGGTGGTGGGGTCACTGGTCAGGTGTGTAGAGGAAGGTCGAAGCCGGCAGTGTGGTGGTGGGGTCACTGGTCAGGTGTGTAGAGGAAGGTCGAAGCCTGCAGTGTGGTGGTGGGGTCACTGGTCAGGTGTGTAGAGGAAAGTCGAAGCCTGCAGTGGTGGTGGGGTCACTGGTCAGGTGTGTAGAGGAAGGTCGAAGCCGGCAGTGTGGTGGTGGGGTCACTGGTCAGGTGTGTAGAGGAAGGTCGAAGCCTGCAGTGTGGTGGTGGGGTCACTGGTCAGGTGTGTAGAGGAAGGTCGAAGCCGGGCAGTATGGTGGTGGGATCACTGGTCAGGTGTGTAGAGGAAGGTCGAAGCCGGCAGTGTGGTGGTGGGGTCACTGGTCAGGTGTGTAGAGGAAGGTCAAAGCCTGCAGTGTGGTGGTGGGGTCACTGGTCAGGTGTGTAGAGGAAGGTCGAAGCCGGCAGTGGTGGTGGGGTCACTGGTCAGGTGTGTAGAGGAAGGTCGAAGCCTGCAGTGTGGTGGTGGGGTCACTGGTCAGGTGTGTAGAGGAAGGTCGAAGCCGGCAGTGTGGTGGTGGGGTCACTGGTCAGGTGTGTAGAGGAAGGTCGAAGCCTGCAGTGTGGTGGTGGGGTCACTGGTCAGGTGTGTAGAGGAAGGTCGAAGCCTGCAGTGTGGTGGTGGGCTTGCTGATGAGGTGTTTCCAGGGAACCTTGCTCGAATCCCACAAATTGATCCGCGCCGTTTCAATGCTGAAATTCACGTCGTGCAGAGCTTGTGCCGCGTGTTTCCAAAACGACAGAGTTCTCGACCTCAGCCTGTGGATGCGGTATGTTCGGATCATCGTTGATTGGCGGCTTTGTGTTGCCTTCTGATCGTTCATCGTTTCACGGAGGGTTTGGAGCACTGCGGCGAATAGCTGGTGGTGCGATATTTGACGACAGAAAGCCAACGCAGTGGCGCAGGTTTTAAAAATCCCCTCGGGAGTCCGCACCGCGATGTTCAGTTGGGTATCGGTGAGTAGGCACCGTCTACTCCAGCAGAGCGTCGTGTAACAAAGCTTATTGTCGCACAGTTCCATAATCCACTCGACTCATGGCACTTGATGAACAGCACATGCCAGTATATTTAAACATCAAAAGAAATATATCTCCTGAGTAGTACTCTATTTATAGATGGCGCCAGAGTGGGTGTTTATATCTTTTTCAGTACACCAAAAATGTCAATCTCTTTTTCTACCCTTATGTCATCTGCAATAAAGTGTGTTTGTGCAGATCCTGCGCTGCCAGTATAGTAATAAACACCTCAGATTGATGCTAAAATTACATCAAAGATGAACAAGTTTCACTGCTCTGTTTATATTTTTACGGCTCAAGATGCAAAGTTCTCGTTCGTACGTTCATCGTCGTCATGTTCACCAGCCATGATCAATCCACCGCTGGAAGAGGGCCCCTTTTCCAAGGCACCAACACTCACACTCCTGAGATGTAAAAATATATCTCGCACCTGCACTAACACGCTGGATTCATTGCTCCATCTCGGTTTGTGTACGTCCATTGGTGCATTCCATTCTTTGGTTTCCATTCCATTATTACTCTTGACTATTGGCCATTATTCCATCTCGTGCGGTTCCCTGGCCCAGCTTTCTTATATTCACGGTGTCATTTAACCTGCTCATGCCTAGTCCACGTGTTTCTTCATCTCCGTGTAATTCTAAGCATGCACCTCTCCATGCTTCTTTGTGCACCTTTTTGTTTTTTGTTCTGCATTTTTCATGAATGTTCGTGTTTCTGAGCGACGTCATGGTGGGTAGTACGGACAGATTTAAACATTATTTGCGAGGCACCTTGCTTTGTTACTTTTCATAATGAAGGTCGGCTTCCCAGAATCGCTCTAACCTACTCTCAACGACATCTTTATTAGATTTTTTTTTCCATCCCATTTCAGCCTGACTTTTATTGCTGTTCTCTCGGGAGCAGTACACATTCTGTTTTTTCAACTTCCAATTTTGTTCCTCTTGACAGATATCTCCAATTGTTTGAACATGTGTCTGCAACATTTGGGCGCCACGGTGGCGAGATGTTAACTACCTCGTCTGGTACACAGGTGGTCGTGGGTTTGATCCCGACCCTGACACCTGTTGTATATTAGGAGTTTGTATGCTATCTCTCCCCATGGTCGAGTGTTTTTACACGCTTTTATTTAACTCGCTCTGTTGTATTATCAACTCTGTCTGTTGTATCCTTAACTCTGTTGTCGTATACCTCAAATATTGTAACTCAATTTTAAACCACTTCCCAATGTCGTATCGACTGCAAACTTGGTATACGTATGTCATATTGATGACAATACTATATTCTATCATTAAAAATAAAAATAATATTTTTTTTTTAAAGCGATTTTTTTAATATGTTATGTTTCGGCTTGGGTCTAATTGTCTACGCTCAACTCACGTTGGCTGTAAATCACCACGGTCCCTTACGTTATGGCAAGCTTCGGGGCCACTTCCTGGAGTCGTGGAGTTCTGCCATTACTCGTACGGTACATTTCATTAAACCGTGTCTTTAAAAAAGTTTTTAAAATATTACTTTTCTCATGGTCCTTCGGTTTTCCCTCTACATTAAGAATCAACACGCGTTTAATGTATTTGGCTCCTGTTATACAAAGTCTTTCTAACATTTCTTGCAGTTCATTACAATCGGATGTTATGATGGACCTGCTCATTTTGAAATGCTTAAAGCTTATGCATATTCATGGCTTCGTTTATTCCAGTCGAATTTTATCAGAAACACATCTAAATGTTACTGTGAATAACTTTGGTGATTC